CAGGGGAGGTCAGAGGGAAAGGGGGCTATTAGAATTAAACTAAAAATAATAGCTTCTTTGTTACTACTAGTAAGGCACCTGTTACTACTAGCGATGCACTTGTTACTAGTAGCTTCTTGTTACTACTGGGAGGGAGGGAATGGTACTTTTGTTGGAGGTTGATGGAGTCGAATGCGTACGCGGATGCATGGACGCTTTGGCAGGGCTTTGGCCAATAGCCGACCGAAACACGGATACACCGTCTCCTCCGCTCCATTGCAGCCTTCCAAAAACATCTAAAGCTGCCTATGACTTCCTTGACGTGAAGCGGAGGCTTCTAGGTTGGAGGCCATTGCTATTAGAGATTCACAGTGCATGTTGTACATGTACAGTAGAAATGTGCAATGATTTCTTCCAAAGGTGCAGGCTGGTTTGTACACGGGTCCCCGACTCACTGGTCCAAGACTTCAGCTTTGAGCTTTGCCAATGAGGAAGGATTTCTTTTGCCAAGATTCCCACAATCAAATGATCCAAACAAAGGGCATCGATCGCTACTAGGAGCAAGGATGCTACTAGTAACTCCTGGCATTACTGCTAGGAACAAGAAGCTACTAGGGCTGGCCATACTACTAGGAGCACGGACGCTACTAGGGGCTCCACGCCGGTAGTAGCTCCCTGAGCCTGAGGTGTCAAAAAACAGACTGTCGATGTTTCGCAGGAAATTCCTCGAGAGCTTTACTCTGATACAATGACATTTCCGTGCAGGTTCTCCAATGGCCCCATGAAAGCTTCTGACCGGACCGTCCCTATAATTACCCTTTTTTGATTAGAACCCAACCGGTGTTCCTGACCATCCGCCCTCGCTCTGCTCGAGGCTGGCACAGGCCATCCTTCGCATCAAGCTGCCAGCCATCCTTCCTCTCGAGCCGGTCACGCTTCTGGAGCCGGTCCCATCTGCGCCGCGCGCCTTGCAGGACCCATGGAGTCCTGTGGGGGGAGAAGACTCGTCGCGTTTGCTCCCGCTCCGGACTCGTAGCGATGCTCAACATGTGACGTTCGTAGCGTCCTCGTGTTCCTGTGTACGGCCAGGAGCACCCCGTTCGTAGCGTCTTTGCTACTAGATCCCCCAAAACATCCCTTCCTCAGCTAAGCCGAGGAACATGAGCCAAGGGGTCGTTTTTCCAGGTTCTGACATGTTCTAACATCAGTCTTTTCACCATTGGACCAATATCGCTTCGGTGATGGGTGTTTGTCTTTGCATAGGTGTGTCTTAGGTTTTCAATGTTCCTTAAATGTTCCTTGCTGTGTGCCTCCAGCGGGAGAACAATGACCGAGTGCTATGGAGATCTGGAACCACGGTACGTGAGCATCTCCCGGTGTTGCATCTTGGATGGCTTCAATCAACATCCTTGAGCCTTGGCCGCATTTTCCATGTCCATTTATCTTCGAAGCCGTTTCGGAGCTAATAGCAATGCAGGGCACAAGACTAAGGAGCGCTTTGGCGCTGAAGCGAAGACTAGTGACTAGTGAGACTCTTGTACAGTGTTCTATGCACGTTCATGTTCCGCCTCCAATGAGGTCCGCTCGCGCGACTCATCACCCGCCCCGAACCCGAAAAAAACAGGTCAGGAACGGACTGGAGTTGATCATACAAAAATACTACTAGGGGCTCCTGGCCTAACTAGGAGCAAGGACGCTAAGAACGGGGCTCCTGGCTTAGGAACAAAAATACTACTCAAGTAGGTTTTCAGGAACACCTGGACCTTCAAGGCGTGTCCTGTTTGGAGATCCAGGATAGTGGGCTGGGGCGAAACCAGCCAGGTGACTCCTCAAAACCGGGTTTGGATCTGGACCAGGACTGAAGGACTGGGACCGGTCATGCAGGACCTCACCAACTGCGCAGACGCGGAGCTCCAAAGGTCCCTCGGCGCGGGCCGGCCAGATTCGGCGGGGCCCGGGGCCCGGAGCGAAGCCGTCCACTTCGTCGAGCCATGCAGAACTGGGGAGGTCCTGTTTGGTGTCGGAAGCTTCATAGGGGCACTACTCACCTACTCACCCCACATGACCAATTCGTCCAAGCGCTGCGGGGTCTGCCAAGAAAGTCTGCGGGGTCGTACTGGCTCAGTTTTGCAGCACATGTTCCATTGAATCTGTCATGTTTGTTGGCATCCGCTGGTTCGGATTTGCATCCGCTAGTAAATTGGCGTAAACTCCCGATCTCATTTCCATGAGAGGCCTAATTCAAAGGTGGAGAAGGAGATCATCCCTTCCATGCAGCTTGATGATGATGAACCTCGGATTTGCAAGCAGGAGGCGGTTGTGAACTCCCTATTGGGCAAAAAAACAGAAGTACTATTGCTGACGAAACTTGGCGTATCAGCCAAGGACAGAAACCGCAAGGTTGCTTTTGGTAGTAGAAGGAGGCAATGGGAAATACTGGTCAAGCTTCACAAGTCTGTTTAACCAGGTTGTAAACCAGGCTGATGCCCTTCTGCAGGCTGATGTTGAAGACATGTCAAAAGGACGAGTCTCCACAAAAAAAGAAGAAACATGCTACTAGAGATTTGCTGGCCAGCTTGCTTGGCTACTGGTGTGCTTCACGAACACCACAGACTTTCTCCAGTCGACTGCAGGAACGCATTGAAGTCCTTTTGGCGCGGATGGCACCCAGCTCGGGCCAACTGCAGACACCGCCCAGCGCTGCGCCGCAGAGTGTGCCACAGAGGCACATGCAGCAAAGGCGTGCAACACATTGTCGGCGGGGAAGGACTTTTGGGGAATTCACCATTACTGTAACACCTAGGGTTTTGCCTCTGGTGTTGTGGGTGTTGCTTCCAAAACCATCGAATGGCCAGGTGTAGGGTCTAGTCTAGTTTTTTCCGAGGTGTTCAGTCAATAGGAGTCACCCTTTGGATCATTTTGCTGCAACGAACTTGGACTCACCACTTTGTGTGTGTGTGTGTCCCGCTGGTTCTTTCCCAACCTCCCCGCGACCCGGGCACGGCGGGTGTTTTTGGGGCAGTTCTGTGCCGTTTCCGCATCATTCTGTCTCGCAGCGGTCCGATTTGTGACCTTCAAGGTCCGATTCTGCGGTTTGAGGAGGGAAAATCCGTCCCCATGGATCCACATACCCTCTGAAGTACGGTGATGGGACACACACATTTACAGATCATACAAGCATGGAGGGTTCAGTGGTACCTTCTTTTCGAAAGTGGCAGTGGATCCCTTCAAAGTATCCATGGTCCTACATATAGTCATATATAGTCACTTCACTGGCTTTAGAGTACAACTCCACCGCACCACCGGGGCCACGCGGAGGACGGGCGTGGATTGCACCGCTCCGTCCAGGTGTCCCACACGAGTGCCCCTCTTGTCGCGCCCAGGGGCCTAATTCAGTCTTCCGAGGACCTGCGAAGTACGGACGACGTTCGGTGGAAAAGGTTTCAACCCCGGAACGACGACGGACCCGGTTTCACAACGACGCCCAAGCGTGCGGAAAACCCAACGTTCGCTGTTTTTGATTGAAAGAACCTCTTCAAGAAAGTGAAACGTCGCATCCAGCTGGGCTGGGCTGGCACCTTGGAAGCGTAATTCGTTGCACATTGGTCGTCGAGGTTGCCATGATCCGTGGCAGATCCTCTCACGAAAGCGACCAAATTCGAAATCAGCGAAATCGCTGGGGAACTCGGGATTCCATCCCCACCATCTCCGTTCGAAAAGGAAAAGAGTTTAAGACAACGGATGGATTTCTTGTTCGTCGCCAGGCATTTCTTCGGATCTCGGAGAGGCTGTCGTGCTTGGTGCCGAAACAGGTCTTCTTCGCCCGTCCTTCTAGGTGTAAGTCGACTTGGAGACCTTCCTGGGTAAACTCCCTTAGGCTCCCAAAGAACCGCTTTCCGGATTTTTACACAACACCAGGTCAACCACTGTTAAAATGGTCGGACGAAAGGCTATAGTGTTTTGCATGGTTTGCTTCTTCCGGTGTTTTGAGACAAACCACTTCGTCTCGTTTGCTGTTTGCTGGGCCACTCGTCTCGTCCCTATACGGACCGAGTCCAGTCGAAGCACGGGTCGCAAAACCTGGTCCGGACCGCCTTATTGAGTGTTTTGTTTGGCCTCGCTGCTACGAACAAGTCGCTACAAGGGATCGCTTGGACGCCACTAGGAACAAGAGTAAAGGTTTTTGGCCTCCGCGGGTTCCTGTATGCAATTGAGGCCAAGAGGGTCAAAAAGGGTGCACGTTCGAAGAGAACCATAGACATCCATAGACCAACCAAGGGCCTTTGCTTTTTGTATCGTGGCTCCCTACGACTAACTCAGAAGGATTCCCGCAGACGGGCCGCTGGCTGGCACAAGGCTGGCACGGCACCGTCTTTGTCTGCTGGTGTTCTTCCCGTGATGTGCCAGGACGGTTCGTGTGGCCGCACGGTTCATGTTGCACCTGGGACATATCCCAAAGATTCATCGCACTATCGCATGGGTTGATTCGGGACCTCCTTCCGATTGCCAAGTAGCCACTGGCTCTCCGAAAAGGGCCTTGAGAGTCGAAGCCAAGGCTTGCGGAAGAATCTCTTCAGCTCTTTGATCAGCACCAGCATGTGAGGTATATAGCCTTACTACTAGGAGCTGTCGCACGCTACGAACGGGGCTCCTGACCTTACTAGTAACAAGAAGCTACTAGTGAATTGCAAAGTTCTACAGCAGATCTGAAGGGGGGTGAATCATGTTGAAGCAGCGCATACCACCTCGCAGCGAAAAGAGAACCTCTTCGTAGCGAAAAGAGCAACGCACCTGCACCCACCGCTAACTATATAGAACCCCCACTTGACGACTGGCTGATCCATGCACCACCCTCGCCATGAAGAAGAGTGCAGTCGCACACCATCGCACACGTTGTTTTGCAGTCTTCTCCATTTGGGAGATCCCAGCTACTAGGGGCTGTCGGACGCTACGATCGGGGCTGGCCATACTAGGAACAATGTGCGCTACGAGTGAAGGGCTCGTCTAGCCGATGGGATGCCATGGCCAGATCTCTCGGTCTTCGTCACCTGGGCCTGGCGCGGCACGCCGTGCGGCACGCCGTGCGGCACGCCGTGCGGCACGCCGCGGTGCCCGCTGCTCGACCGGTGGCGTCGGCCGCTGTGGCCATCCAGGCTCCGCTGGAGCACTGGCAGTCGGCAGAAGCTTTGAGTGCAAAGGTGCAAAGGTCATGTAGATTCATTCAGAACCCCCCCCATATGAAGAGGCGGTCTTGTCTTGTTCTCGCGGTTTGGCACTTCTTTTGTATAGATAGTCACTGGTGTGACCTGCGCGTCCACAGTGGCACTCTCAGACCACCCAATGGGGCTGCATGCGGATCTGGAGTGGGAAGGGTAGAAGAGGTGTTTCAATCCAAATGGCTTTTCTTGTTCATCAAGAGTCTACATTTCAGAAGCAAAGCTTTGGAAAGTTGCAGTAGCAAAATAAGATGAGCTGGCTGGTAGAATGAAGATGTAGATGACACCCATGCAAGAGGCTTTGTCCGTGCATTTGACTGACCTCTTCTTTGGTTAGTCTCGGTCATTGTTGCTCTATCCTTGTGCTTGGTTTCGCAGGTTTCACCATGTGTCACTCAGAAACTGGACGATCCCTGACGAGTCAAGGCATCAGGGCATCAGGGCCGACTAGACTTGGAGCACCAGATCGGACAGACTGGTCAGGCTTCGCAAGGAAAAGCCCCAGTCTGAGACTGTTGCTTCTTCATTGCTGTAAATCTCCCAAAATCAGCCGGTGATCTACTTTGATGCCTTGCCATGCTGTGATCTCTCATGCCATGCCTTGATGGTATATATATATATTATAGACATATCAAGCATTACCTCCCCAAGACATTTTTTGAAACCACTAGGAGCTGTCGGACGCTACGAACGGGCCGGGCGACCGGTCTTGACCAAGAGCGTCCGGCCGCTCCGTTCGTAGCGATGCCCTTCGTTACTAGTAGCGAACGTTGCTCCTGGTAGTAAGGCCAGGAGCTACTAGTAGCGTCCGACAGCTCCTAGTTGTTCGGGGAGGCCAACATCTGGCCTAGAGGTCCAGTCTGACCAGGACTTTGCCTCCCATGTTCGTAGTTTGATCATACATAAAGGTCTAGCAAAATGAGGTCTAAGACCATCGTTACTATAGGGTGGAGGCCATCGCTACTGGCTGTATCTATGGGGGGTTCTTGGGTTAGCTAAGCTTGTGGAACATGTCTCGGTTTCGAAGGAAGGTGCATTTGCGGGCACCCTAGAGTGAGAAAAGGCGGTGCCACAAAGCATGTTGTGGGAGAGATTCCCTATCGAACTATACCCAAAGACCCAAAGCAATCTGGTTGCATATATCATATTATTTATATCCCAGAACATCCGTTTTGACTTCTTTTACCCCACCTGGCAGTCAATCCATCCACGTAATATGAGTCATGACAAGACTCTTTTTTCGGTCTGTGATGGAGATCGGTACCGCCGATCTCGCTACCACTGAGGACCTCTATGTGAACCCGATTTGTTCACAGATGGATCAAATGCTGCTGAAATGCCGCTCGGCTAAAGGCGGTTCCGGGGTGCGTGCGTGTGCGTGCGTGCGACGAGCGGCTGTGTGGGGCTCCTGAAGGATCCCGATCCATGGCGGAGCACAAAAAGGACCATCCAACCATCTGGACCTGGCTGGTTTCGCCCCAGCCCACTACTATCCGGGATCTCCACACCCAGATGTTTGGATGGTCCAGGTGGCATCTTTCTTTGAAGTGGGAATGCGACCCTTTTGTTCGGCTCCGACCTTGGGTAGGGACCACTAAGGACTTCGTGGGTATGTGGAGATATGTTTTGAGGAAGCCTCGATCTATATATATATAGTATAATGGGTACATGTTGGTGGTGATGTTATGATCTTTGACAAGATATTGTACTGTAGGCTCACTGGTGTGACCAGAAAAAACATATCCCAATGATCACAGTAGAAAGTGCAGGAATCATGGTTTCTAGCTGCTACTAGTAGCGTCTTGTTTCTAGTAGCGATGGCCTCCAACCTACTTGCGATGGCCTCCACCTAATAGCGTCCTTGTTACTAGAAGCTCGTTTCTTCAAAACCAAGCTCCAGGCTCATCGGACTCCGACTCGACCAGATTATGACACATTATGACACCCAAAACGGCGGTTCAGCCGTCGTGAAGAATTGAGGAAGACCACCGCACTGTGCTGCCCTTTGTCACCAACCCATCTACAACTTATGGTCGGACCAAAAGAAAGAAAGAACGAATATCAACCCCATCGGAGCAGGTTCCCATATGTTCCCTCAAAAATCCTGGTGAACGTGAACTGGCTGTCCGTCCGTAGGGAGGCGAACTAGCTCCGCTGAGGTGAGAACTTGGAATCGGTGCTGGCGCTCTTGGTGACGCACCGTGGAGTCTTTTTCGTGCACAACCTGGTCACTGCGATTCAGGTGTCTTCTTCCTTTTTGGGGAGGCCAAACTAAAGAAAAGAACCATTCTGCTTGGGGTTGCCCCATAGACGACATTGGATCTTCAGTTTTGGATACACGGAGGATTTAGGAATGCTCAAAGGCAGTCGAATGGTCCATCGTTTTGGGGAACTTTGGCAAGTTGGGGTCACAAAATGTGTTTGTTGTCAGGTTCGGGTCGGCCCGCCATATCCATGACATTTGTGTGTTTTCATGTTGTTTTCATGCACACTTGTCTTTTTGAAGGAAGAGGAGTAGTCCGAAAGAGGAGATTCCCCAGATCCTGAGCGATGGAGGAAGCGAATGTCGGCACCTTTTCGGTGTTTTTTCCCTCTCGCGGAACGCGAGCTGCCTCGCGGAACGGCGAACGCCTGGGTCGGTGCCGACGAACGTGCGCTGCAGGTGATGGCCTCCCTGGACGAGGCGCGGGATGCCTTGGCCGTGAACCGCCTCCTGCGAGACCCCAGGCGTCCGGGTGACGGTCTGGGTGCTTCCGCGAAGCGCTTGGAGCATCTTCTAATTCACCTGGTAATTCGTTGTTCAGTGCAGTAACAGACAACTCAGACAACGGTTGTTCAGGAAGAAAAGACGATTCAATGGTGGAATCGGCATCGGCAGGGAGTCTTGCAAGATGCGGTTTCGGTTTCAGAGCTCTCGCGCTTTGGTTTGATGCCACGCTTCGCGGGTGCTTCGGCTTGGGGACGACAAGACGACTCTGTCACGCCGTATTTGCCCAAAGTCAGTCACCCTATGCATGGTCAACTTGCTGTACCATGCTGGTCATTTGTGTGAAGCAACTCGTGCGTGCCGGGTATAGGTATGATGTCTTGCTGAGAGACTTGCTCCGTTTCGTGCCAAAGCTGGACTTCTTGGCCATGACGAACGTGGTTTGTTCCTTGCAGTTGCTGGACCATAAGAAGCTCGGCGGCATAGAGCTGGGTGGAAAAGGTTTTTTGTCAAGGGCAATTGCTGGGGTGTTTGGTTGTGATTAGAATGGGTTAACAGAACATTAACTATCATGCTGCATCATCGTATGTTTCATCAACTTGACTGTAGCTCTTGCAGGTTCATCACCATTTTTCTCGATTCACCGTCGGTTTCTCAGATCGACGCCTGGCAGTTGGAGAATTTACGCAGAAGACACCTTTGGCTTCAAAGAGACAGAATGCATCAGAATTCCAGTCCCAAACACTCCATGGGACTGGTATATTAAAGCGATTAAAGTACGTACACTGGGGTGGTTTCGGGGTCCATGTAGATGAATATTGATTTCATTAATACATGGAGGCCATCCCCAGGGTGGAGGCCATCGCTATTAGGGTAAATGGTACACACCTTCCAACCAGCTCACGTGTGCGCAGAGCGCTCTGCGCGCGGCGCACACGGCCGGACGGACGGCTCCCGCCACCTCGCCGGTCCGATCAGTAGAAACTCCCCTCGGAGTCCAGGTACCAATCGGGTCGAATGGAGGGTGAGTACGTACTTCCAGAAGAGGTCGAATCGAATGGTGGACATCCGAATCGAATGGTGGCAGGACCCCTTCCTTGGACTCCGAAGTCTATGGTTGCTTCGTCTCCCAAAGTCTCAAAACTCGATCCTCGTCACTCTTCATGTGCTTTCGGAACCTAAGGAAAGCAGAAATCACTCGTTTCACCCGGGTCAACACATGTCCAATTCTCAGACCGTAAAGGGGTCGAACGGGGAACCAGCTATCTCTTTTCTCCTTTCTTTGGGTTGAAATCCTTTGATTTCTTCGCCAGGTACTATGCCCTGTTCTCGCGGATGTTGCATCCTCTCATGCAGCAGCCGGGGCCCGAGGTGGGGATGGGCGGATCGATGCGGATCGATGTGGATCGAGGTGAAAGTGGATGGCGGTTGCTATGGAAGAAGAATGTATAGATGTGTATAAAGCAAGGACAAAAACTCGGATCAGAAGGCAGTTCACACTGTATCCTTGCCTGATCTTACTTCAAATCAGGAGAAGTTCTGGATGTCTTCCTCTTCGGATGAGTGCTACATAGTGCGTCTCCCAAATAAGAGTCTTGAAACCCTTCCAGGTCCCCGTGATCGCCGTGGAATTTGGTACATTGCCCCGCGCAAGGTGGGCACCTTGCTGCGGTGCATGGAGGCCTACTGTTGGGCGGGTTACTATGAACAGAACCACTTCTTCCGGCGCTTCGCGCAGGCGCCGGTCGTACTTGAAGTTCCGCGAGTCCGGGCGCAAAAAAAGAGTGGATGGGCACTACCAAGTGGCCGAGTGCCGTGCGGGGAAGTGGTGTTCGGTGGCGTTGGAGCAGGAACACGGTGATTCGAAAGATGAGGCCTTCATGTTGAAAAGCTGAGAAAGGTGAAGCGAAACTTTTGACATTTTTGCACCAGGATTTTGAGTGCAGTCAATGATGTTCCCAATGTCCACATGTTGCGGGGGCATCATAGGACCTTGAGAGTCCTGGAAAAGGACGAACATGATGAAAACCCCTTCACTGGTAGTGGATGGATTGACTGGTGGAGTAAGAACAGTCACGGAAGTTCTGGGAAGAAGTGGGTGGATCTCAGGTTCACCAACCTGAACACTTCGATGTCCGCTCTGGAGCTTCGTTCGCATCGACCGGAGGTTCTGGCCGAGAGCTTGGACGCCTTGGATGCACCGCAACTGGTGCAGGGCGCGGTGTTGTTCTCGAACGCTGCGGAGTACCAGGAGAGATAGGGCGCTCCCATTCGAGGATTGGCAGATGGCGAAGTGGGGCGAGTCCTTTTCAAGCGGCAGATAATCAGACCAGCGAGAAAAAGCCGCTTCGAAAGATCTTGTTTTCGTTCCCCTGGAAAGCCAGATGATTTCATTCGGTGAATTTACGATCTTTTGACGTGAGATGGCAGAGCTGATCGCTACATAGATTGTGGTTTATCTAAATAGACCTCCTTTATCCTCCTTTCAATCGGTTTCTCCAAATCTCCCAATCCAGGAGGCCTTCTTCACCGCTGCCGATCAGCGCCTCCGTGCCGACCAGAGCTCGGCGGTCCTGGCAGAGCTCAGCGCGCGGGAACTGGGTCTCACCGCGCAAGCGTTCACTGCGCACCTCACCACCAGGCGCATCGCTACGAACAAAGGGCATCGCTACTAGTAGCTCTTGGCCTTACTAGTAACAAGAAGCCATTAGTAGCTCCTGGCATCGCTACTAGGAGCGATAGGACGCTACTAGTAATCTTCGTTTGGGCGTTTTCGCTTCAGGTTCTCAAACTGGAAGAAGGGGCGGGTTTTCGCTTCGCGTTGTCTCCCACCACCGGACTGAACCTCCCCCGAAGCTTCGAGAACCCAAAAGCACGTGCTCAAAACGACGTCGAAAAACGGTGCACCAGAAAAGTAAAACACACTGATCACACTGTAAAAACATGTTAGACAACATTGGTTGTGGGCTCCTGTTGCGAAAAAACTTGAACATCTCATGGTTGACAGTCGGGTATTTACAGTGTTTAGGGGGATGCAAAAGTGTTTAGGGGGATCCAAATACCGTGGTTTGGCAGATGTGCTCTCTTCAAAAACTGTACTGTCCGAGTGTCAACAGGTTGGTGTACTTAGTGCGTTCGCGCACGGCCCTGAAGACCGCGTGCGCGTGGACCCGGGGGGGGGTGCTCGGCGAAGATCTAAAGAATGTATGCACACTGCGAGGGAACAAGAAGCTACTAGGGGCTCGTGGCCTTACTACTAGGAACAAGAAGCTGCAATGTGTTTGTTTTTACATGTTCTTAATGTTTGGGGATTGTTTTGCAATGCGATGCCCGACCATGCGATCGCCGGCCCCGCTCACGCTCGGATTTGTGGAAATAGATCCACTGAAGTAGTGGTGGGTGATGAGTGATGACAAACAGGAGCCCCTAGTTAATTCTAATTCTTGTTTCTAATAGCTTCTTGTTCCTAGTAGTAAGGCCAGGAGCCCCTAGTAGCTTCCTTGCTCCTAGTAGCGATGCCAGGAGCCCCTAGTAGCTTCTTGTTCATGAGTCCAGTCACGATAGTTCGAAGGCATGATGAGCTCTTGACGCGCGTCGCGGAGCTCCTGGAAGTCCGTGCGATGGAGATGGACCCCGTGGATTTGGTGAGACCTGGACTGCACCACCACGGGAAGAGGATGAGGAGGTCAATGATGTTGGATTGGGTTCCGAAAAGGAGCGGGAGTTCAACGAATCTTCATCTATATTAGTTCCAAAATGTTTCAAAGGATGCTTTGTGGTTGACTTACAAAGCATTGTTTGCCTAATGGCTATGGTGGGTCAGAACGTTCGGTCAAGAAGCATCAAAAAGGGGTCAACCATATGCATTGTATATTCTTGAGAAAGCCACAGGGCTTGGGTGAGACAGGGGTCGAATCCAGTCGGCAATGAGAACAGTTCAGGCTCGATCAATCCAACGGAATCAAGGCCACACAAGACGACCAGGGTGCTACTAGTAGCGTCCTTGCTCCTAGTAGCGATGCCAGGAGCCCCTAGTTGCGTTCTCTTACGTTGCAAAAAAACTATCTTACAGATCACACACACTTACTGGATGGTCAGCACACGCATTTCTACCGGCACCGGTGGCCCACAAGAAGATGTTCCTCACCCCCACTGGTTTCTGGTGACCTTCATATGTGGCGAAAAACTCAGGTCATTTCCATCGGTCAGATCGTGTGTCCGTCTGAGGCGATGTTTACGAGCTTTTCACCGGTCCGTGCTGCACTTTCCAAGAGCCATCGAAGCAGGCGAATGGCTCGGCTGGCGGCAGGGCGCAGGGCCGTGCATGGGGTTTGGGTGGTGTTTCGTTGGTCGTGCGACTTGGAGTTCGCGAAGAATCCAAAATGAGCAATGAATAGATCAGATGTGTACGATAGGTTTCAAAAAGTCCAGTGAGTGGAGAACATGTTGGAAGAAGTTGACTTCGCCAGTGTAGTTGAAGGAAATCCTCATCGGTTGATGCTGCAACATGACTCCAATCAATAGTTCCCTAGTTCCCAGACCATCCATGTACGGAGTAGTTGCATACACGGCCATAAATGGAGTAACTGTATGTCACATTATGTAAGTATTGTATACATGTCTGGCGGTGGCGGAAAGTGACCAATCGCCATGGGGTGTTTCTCGCTGACTCCTTGGCCCTTCTTTGGATCACTGGTGCTGAAAGCCGCTTGCAAAAGGCTAGCTGGTCCCTGTTGGTGCTCCGTTGTGCTGGAAAGAACGCTTCGGAGATGAATCCCTGAAATGTATTGTAGACTCTTGCTTAGTAAAAACCCTCCCAGCCATGGATTGATAAACCTCTTCAGTCTTTGGGGAGTTTGGTCAAGAGTCCACATGATGGTGGGTGTTTTCCTGGGTGATATTGAGAACATCTTCCGGCTCCGGTCCACTTTTCTTGTGAGCCCTGCAGCGCGCGTCACCTTTCTTCGTGGCCGTACCGGCGGGTGCTTGACGGTGTTCAAGGCCTGGCCGCGTGCAGTGCGCCCTTGTACCGTGCCTGGTTGTTGCGGAAGCCCAGTGATCAGCTGGAGCCCGTGCACGTGGCGGAGCTCTTGGAAAGCTCTGCAGCTCGGACGAAAAGGAACCGGCAGTGGCTTTTCAGGTGGAAGTCCTACCCAGAATAAGTGGAAAACCAACAAACAACAGCGGTGAGGTACTTGTACTGTGTCCAAGTGTGTGCACCTGCAGGTCACCCTTTTTTAGGAAAATGGGTGTCCCCACTCACTCAAAACCAACTGGTGGAAAGCTGGATTCATATTCTGTTCTTGGATAGCCTTCTTCCAGCCCTTCTTCCGGCACGATGCTTGGGGCACAGTTCAAACCACAAACCCGCGGCTGAAGTGGTCAATGTGATCACCCATTACAATAGGCCTGAATGGGGGGTGTCACCCGGGGGTGTCACTGAACGTGAAGTCGTTTGCATTCTTGCAGCAGTTTGCTTGGAACTCGACCGAGCACAGTGGAGGGGTTCTTCGATCCGGATTGGAGCCTCCGGCTCGGAGTGATTCATCACCAGATCGGAGCACCTCACTCGGATCCAAGGCCTTCTTTGGGGTCCCCAGCGACTTGATGCAGGTTGCCTTGGAGTCTCCTGGCAGAGGTGCTAGGTCGAATAAACAAACTCAGATCAGTTCCATAATTTCGGGGGGAGGGGGATGGAGGAGCAAGGGGTTATTTCACCAAGTCTTTTTGGGATTGTTACGATGTCAAGCACTGCATGTTTTTCTATCAACTTATATAAGTTCATTTTTACAATCTAAGCTTTGGCAAAATCATGTTTTTCTTTCATGTCAATGTGGTGGCTTTCATCTACACCACGTTCTAATTCTATTGCGTCCAAGATCTAACCCTCAATTTGCTGTTTGTTGTTTTCATTCTATTTCTTAAGGTGCAATAAAATATGATGACTGATATATTTAGATTAAAGGTTCATTCACAATCTTAAAACAAGAGAATTGTTTGTTTTTTGAACGTTTTGATGTGTTTGTTTGTTGGGTTTCGATGCGGCTGTAGTTCAGCGCTAGCTTTTACAAACATGGAGGGTAAACACGGTGGTTAGGATGTCAGTCATACCATGTCATACCATGTCGCCCACAGGCTCGAAGCGATGGCAGAAAGAAAACGCAAAAGCACCATCAAAGGATCTGACTTAAGTGTTCTTTTTTACTAGTAACAAGTGCCACGCTAGTAGTAACAGGTGCCTTACTAGTAGTAACAAAGAAGCTATTAGAATTTATTTTAGTTTAATTCTAATAGCTTCTCCTTTTTATTTTGGTCTCACTTCAGCACCTTCGCAGGGGTCCGGACCCTCAAAACCATGCTTGAGGCCTGGATTCTTATCAACTCTTCTGTGTTGCACTAGGGAACCTTCTACAAAACCCTTGTTCTGTGCGATATTGCAGGATCACTGATCCACCCTGACCTCCGAGATACTTGGCCGAACACGTCGATGCCATCCCCGAGCGCGCGTGCATTCAAGTGGTCTTCGCCATGTGTACCACCGGACAGGCAGGGGTGAGCCGTCGAATGCTTTGGATCGTTCGAGGATTTTCAAATATCTCGCAGTATTGAGAGATTCCTGTGAAGCTAGGGCAGTATTAGGTTGGAGGCCATCACGATCAGAAACAAAAGACAGAAAGAACTGTATTCCTGTGAAGCGATCGGCTTCTAGGTACTGTTTCAAGTCCAAGCCGATCGAGTGCCGAAAAGCTCATTTGGTGTATGGGCCCTAAACAGGATTCGTGCACCTCCCCGAATAGATAGATCAGTTGAGTGCCAGTTCTTTCTTGACAAGTGTGTGCACAAGTGTTGCAACAGACGCATCGGAACGAAAAGCGGAAAAAACACGCCGTCAGGCGTCCCCCAAAAGGAAAGAAAAGCAAGCACTTTGGTTTGAGGGCCTGAGAAACCATCTAGACTAGAGCCAAAAGCGAGTACTCCTCGAACCTTTGGTAGTCCGTGCAGTTCAGTTTGGCTGGGTCAAGATGGTCAAGTTTTGATATGTGTTGATCCAAGTGCATCGCTACTAGTAGCTTCTTGTTACTAGTAGCGATGCACTTGTTACTAGTAGCGTCCTCTTGCTCCTAGTAGAAATGCCAGGAGCTACTAGAAGCGTCCTTGCTTCTAGTAGCGATGCCTCTTGCTCCTAGTAGCTTCTTGTTACTCTCAGCTTCCAATCCACCTCTGGCCCCAGTGCTCATCCGCTCCCTCCCTCCAGGTGGCTCATCACTCGCGGCTGCTGCGCTTCATCTTCCGGAAGATCGGTGCCGGAACAGCCTGGGAACCTTGGCTTGCGGCGTTTTTAGGTTCGTCTTTGGTTCGTCTCCGGTTGGATTCTGAGTTTTGGGAAGCAGCAATGAGCAGTGTTTAGGGACCATGAGCAGTCCTGCTTGTAGGCTTGTAGATGTGTCTTTTTGTTCACAAGTGGCAGCCAATCAACCTTTACGACCAGCTGGAAAGACTGAACGGTGGCTTGAAGCCACCAACAATGCTTTCTTGTTGGTTCGGAGATGTGCGATTCGCGCGAGACATCACGAGAATCGCCTAAGACCGGTGCGTGAGTTTGATTCCCGACCGGTGCGTCTAAGACGGGTCAGGTTTTCGTTTCCGGTGGAGTTGATTTCGTTTTGGCTCAGAGTTGGCTGTTCAAGCATCAGAGCTTCCATCTGCAGGGGATTTGGAAAGCCACTGGATGATTTGTGCTCCAAGAGTTCTTTCATGTTCCTTCGTCCTGGTCAGTGCTTGCCAGAGCGGATGAAAGACCACCAGCGTCGCGCGGTTTCACGCGGCCGCTTCTTTTCGTCCGCTCCAAGCGTCCAAGGAGAAGCAACGAGTGCGGGTGTTTCAGATTTGGATCTCACAGCCCCTCGGGTTGACGGAACCCGGTGTCCCCGCGGCGCGGCATGGCGCTGGCCGTTGGTCCGAGGGGATTCAAAGACTGGCGGTGGAAGGGAGGAAGGAGATCCCAAGTATAAAGAGGAGAAGTTGAGGAACACCGCCAATTGGAGCAGTGCTTTCATGTACTTTTCAACCCTATTTGGGAAGGGTTTAGTTAAACCAGATTGTTGTGACACTCATGGGATGGGAGTCTTGCCAGGTGCGGTCGTAGACCAGTCCCTTTTAGACTAAAGAGAGGTTCCTCCAAGGTTTGATCGAAACGGACACTATATCAACAACAGAGCATCCAGGCAGTTCCCACGAGAGCTCGCTGGGAGTCCTGGTTCGCAACGACTGTAGCACCGGTTCGTACCGGTGACAGAACGGCTTCCCCAACGGGCCCCTGGTTCCGTACTCGCTGCCAGAGGATCCACGGCCAAAAAACAGAAGCACCGTCAGGATCTTGAAAACACCAACCTGTCGCCAAGAGGTCGTCATCTGAGAAAGTACTTCGACCCCCCCCATGGTTGAAGGATGGCTTCATCCATAAAACGAAAACCTTGCAGGTGCACAACCTGCGATGTTGTGTTTCATCTCGGGTTTGTCTCCTGCAGAAATCAAAGACAACAAGGAGTGTTGTGTTGCAACAACACAACGATAATAAAAACAATAACGCAGCGGCGAGCCTAAGACAATCGTACGCAATGGCCCACATATGCACCAGCTGTGCTAGCCTGGAATTAATTGTGCCTTGACTTAATGTTTGCCAGTTCCACGGCACATATGCAGCGAGCACACACATGTATAATTAGTATGTATATACATGGTGCAGTTAGTCAAAGCATGTCAAAGCACTGTAAAGCGGAAAATATTGGAGGGGTTTTAGACAACCTATAGGCCCCCTGCAGTCGGGGACCCCTTGTGAAACATTCCAAGAGATGAATTGTCAGGTTGGAACACCTCTATGCATGTCACTTCTAAAGATGCTTGCGCGTTGCCTTTGCGCTTTGCTTTTGCATTAAGGTTGAACCCTGGGAACCGCCCAGCTCGCCCCCTCCGCCCGTTGGAGGCTCTTGCAGTTCCCCTGGCTGGACGTGCGCCTGAAGCGCCGCACACTGGACAGCGCCTTGCGCGCCTGGCTGCTGCAGCGCGGCGGCTATGGGGTGCCACACCCCGAGGAGGTCCGGGAAGTCTCGGAGGAGCTCGCAGCACCTTGGATATCCAAGGCACAGCATGGCACAGCGCGGTAAGAGGAGGGGTGTTTAGAAACAGGGGTGGGAACCGTTTTTTTTGTTATGCGTTTTTGGGATCGTTTACCAGGGAGTTGGTGAGAACTTTCAGGTGCGTGAACGGACTTTGGGGCGTGAGCGGTCCCAGGTGAAGCCAACACCACGAGTCGAAATGAGCCGCTAGTAGCTTCTTGCTGTTAGTAGCGATGCCAGGAGCCCCTAGTAGCGAACATTGCTCCTAGTAGTAAGGCCAGGAGCCCCTAGTAGCGTTTAGAGGGAACATGTGATGTCGGGAGCACGTCGAAAGCCCAAACTTGGCCGCAGCGAGCTAAACGCCTCGGTGTTGGCTGACGTGTTGGCTGACAGGGATGGAGCGAAACGAAATGACTTCCGAATGAAACCTTCGGTCTGACCCGTGTCGCACCGATGTGTTGGTCGTGAGTTTTTCCCATCGAGTAGCAGGGTTCGAGCAGTTTCGCAGGATGAAGTGGGAGAGAGAATACAAGAAAAGGAAAGAGTAGCAGATGTAGCAGTGGGATCAAGGGTCATGAGAATATATTCCTACCGCTGATTTCTACTACCACTTGCTACGTACCATCTACATGTACAATCATGTACATCTACATCTTACTACTATACTAATAACAATTAAAAAAAAAAAAGTAGTAGTAATAATTATATATACTGATAATAATTAACACAATCACATTAATTTTATGGTAAGGACGGAAGAGAAAGAAACATTGCCCTGGAGTTCTTTGGCCAAGGAGATGGGTGTGAAGCACCAATGCTTCGTTCACCTGAAAGAAACGCCCTACCAATTGGACGTGGTCTTACACACTGCGCACAAGGCAGACGACTCTCGTTGCGTCACAAAGAGATGGCGTGGGTGTGGAGAAGTCTACAAATGGGATTGGGAAAAGTTTGAAGTCTACAAATGGGATTCTGCAACAGATGTTCCTGTCTCCATCATCCCGCAGTTGGTGAAGGTCTAATCTAATATTCATTTAGGTTTGATGAAAACATCCAAAGCTCCGTTTGTTGCTACTAGTAGCTAGAAGCTACTAGTAGCGATGCACGTGTTACCAGTAGCGTGTTTCCAGCTGAAAGCATCCAAATCCATCCAAAGCCTCATAGCACGGCCGTTAATTTTTTCAGAAGATCCTGCGGCAGGCAGCATTCCTGGTCTCCAGCGAGACAGCGCGGAACTCGCTCACGCCGGTGGGCGGCGTCTTGTTGCAGTTGAAGTGACCTGGCAAAGAGACATGACCAGAAAGGGCAAAAGAAAAGGTGCAAAAAAACGAAGAAAAGGGACAATGTTCGCTACTAGTAACAAGTGCATCGCTACTAGTAACAAGAAGCTACTAGGGGCTCCTGGCCTTACTAGTAGTAACAAGGACGCATGGCGTGTAATGTGTGCAATTCTTTGCGATCCTTCGCGGCACAAGTGCCGATCATTGGGGAGACGAGAAAACTTGTGGCCTCGTTGGACATGGGTGTCGAAGCGTCCGGTCTGTCAGATGCTCGGTTGTGCTCCAGTTGGCTTTTGGGAGGCCATCGCTAGTCGGTTGGAGGCCATTGCTTCTGGGTTGGAAGCTATTAGGTTTCTTTGAAGCCGAACAGATCAGCTTCAAAGCTTTCAAGATCACAGCACACGACCACACACGACCAGACTGGGACTGGCATATATTGACCCTAAGTATACCTTGATGTGGTTTCTTAGGGTTAAAGTTCTTCTATGGTAATACATGGAGTGTCTATTAGGATCCAGTTAGGTGGCTGATGTTGCCCCTGTCCACCCAGGCACTTACGGGACCGTGGTTGGCGCTGCCTGGTCATTCCCCGGCGTGCTTGGCAGCGCCTGCCGTGCGCCCCAAGTCTCGCGCGGCGGGAGTACCTGGCAACGCTCCTGGAGAGCCTGGCGCCGCGATGCGCTGCGCATGGAGTGTGGAGTGAGGCCGAAAAAGGTGGGCTGCGTGTGGTGGACTGCGTGGAGTGTCAGTCTGCCGGCGTGGGCGTGGCGTTCAGACCCCCTGGTAGACCAGTCTACCCATCCAGGGGCGAGAAAGTTCTCCTTATTGAAAATAGATACACATGCATCCAGCCACGTGGAGATCCAGGCAAACTGCTGGGAGTCCCAGTGGTTCCAGTTTGACTAGAATGAACATGAATGAACCATAGATCGGACGAAACAAACCCAAACTCGTGGCCTGGGATGCGCTGGGTTCGGCGGAGGAGTCGAAAAAGAGGTCCAGGTGGATCCCTATTTGTTCAGCTACGACTGGACCCTAAACCTGCATAACCGTGTCTCTAATCAGAGAAGGTACGAAAATGGGTCCCTAGAGGAGATCGGAAGTGGAAAAAAGAAAGCACTTCGTCCCAAGAGAAGAAGAGACTTCCGTGACCAGACTTGGAGCAAATCGGTGTGGTGGGTAGGGCTGTGTGGGCCTTTTCCTGGTTCCTTTAGAGACTGACTTTGTTCAGCATATGTTCAGGACAAGTCCATCTCCAGCACCAAAACAGAGGGGGTTGGCGTTTGTGTGAAGGAACTTGCAGCCTTCTATCGTCATGGAGTAAGTAGATAGAATGTGAACCAATCGCAAAAACATGACCAGTTTCCGGCTTCCGGCAGCTTTGTGGATTTTCCCATCTTCTATTTACTCCGGGATGATATAAGAATCCGATGCATCCGCCAGAGGCTCCGAATGGCAGGTGAGCAACAAAGACCCCCAAACAGAGACTCCTTGGCGCTGATCTACACTCTGGCGACCACATGATCACATGGAAGTGGAAACTGTGGATGGCCTCTATCTATCAAGTATCGTCTTTCCAGGGAGGAACAAGGTGCGCTAGAGCTGTCGGACGCTAGCTCGGGGCTCCCGGAAGGGGTGGGTGGATCAGTCCGCTGATGTATTGGACACCGGTGAGCTCCCCACGTTTCAGGTACTGGCTCTCCTTCGCAGGCGACGCCCTCGCAGACGCTGTCGGAGAGATCCCCCCCTCCCAACGCCGCTTCGATGCGTGGCGAAGTTGGTGTGTGTGTGTGTGTGATGTTGCGGAGCGGAAGAGGCACAGTGCTCTGCTTTTTCGAATGTTCGGCTTCGGGGTGATTTGGGGCCGCCATCCCCATTGAAATGTTTGCTGGGGGTGGCCGCTTGACACTTTCTGCTTTGCTGATGTTTTGGCTTGGCCTCCAAGCCTTGCTGATGTTCACAACCGGTCATTCAACCCACCTGGGTTCTTCCGGTTGAGCAACAGGTGTGACTCTTTGGCACCGAAAAAATAGACAATAATAATTGTTACTAGTAGTAAGGCACTTGCTCCTAGTAGCTTCTTGTTACTACTAGTAAGGCACTTGTTTCTAGTCTATGACTCTATGATGTATATAAGTTCAGGTATGTAGGTGACTCTTCTGTTTGGAAACTCTCATGTTCTTTCCATCTCAGTGACGATAAGTCTCTACGGCTAACCCGTGCGGTAGGCCAGTTGTGGTCCGCTTGTCACGTGTTGAGGTCGTGGTACTGTTTTCCATCCACTGAAGACCGTGGATTTCGTGGTGCTGGATGAGGCAGATGATGGTCATAGACTCATAGATGGTCATTTGAAGAGGTCCAAGACAATAGGCTACTGGCTAGTCCAAAGGCTGCTGAAGTGCCAAAAAAAGGTCCTCATATCCAGGAGCTCCTTGTTGGGTTGCCAAACTTGCAGGGGCCCACATCGTGTACACGGTTTGGTGCCCATTGTCAGTGGATGGGACGAAGCAATCCATTCCGGCATGGAACTGGACGTGAAATGCACTTCAAGTTCAACCTCTATAGGTAAATTAGATGTTAAAACAATCTGCTTTTGAGTTGCTAATAGCGATGACCTCCAACCTACTAGTGATGGCCTCCGCCTACTAGCGATGGCCTCCACCTAGTGGCAGCTTTGCTCAGCTCATGGAGAACTAATTCTCGTCCTCGAAGTGGATGGCAGATGTTTCGGGCATTTGTCTTCACCGAACCCGAAAGATTGCGATTGCGAACAATGTCGACGTACTGACTTCAGGTGACCTCCTACCAACCAGGACCTTCAAACCTTTTACGGGTCTAAGAAGGTCTAAGTGACCTTTTTACCTGGGCTTGATATCATATCAAGTTGGGTCACTTTGAAGGTCCTGGAGGTTCATGTCGGATTAAAACTGCTTTGAAAACAGTAAGGCACCTTGCGAATTACTAGTAGCTACAAGTAGGCTACAAGCTACTAGTAGCTTGCCACTTTGGCCCCTTTAGGCGGTTTCTCCGTGACATTGGCGAGGGTTCAGTGACCGTGACCGGAAGTGGTTTCGGCATTTCCTCGCTGAAACGACTCAGGACTCCGGGACCCCGGAAAAACACTCGGCTAGTAGCTTCTTGTTCCTAGTAGCGAGGCCAGGAGCCCCTAGTAGCTTCTTGTTCCTAGTAGCAAGGCCAGGAGCCCATAGTAGCTTCTTGTTCCTAGTAGCGAGGCCAGCAGCCCTAGTAGCGTCCTTGCTCCTAGTAGCGAGGCCAGGAGCCCCTAGTAGCTTCTTGTTCCATCTTGTTCCTAGTAGCGAGGCCAGGAGCCCCTAGTAGCTTCTTGTTCCATCTTGTTCCTAGTAGCGAGGCCAGGAGCCCCTAGTAGCTTCTTGTTCCATCTTGTTCCTAGTAGCGAGGCCAGGAGCCCTAGTAGTATCCTTGTTCCTAGTTGCGAACCGCCTGCTTTTCTCTTCCGGAGGCGGACCACGTGCTGCGTGAGGGACTGGGTGAGCTCTGCTTGTCAGGGCCCATGGTGACGACAGGACAGCTTTCGGCGAAGGTCAGCGTTCGGCACAGCCACGAAATCGAGCGACGGGGAAGGGCTTGGCTGTGGGAGGGACCAAAATGAGTCGAGTTTTCCATGCATCGCAGGTTCTCAATTGTTCAGTAATGTTCGGTATCTGAGGGGCATAGTTGTGCGCTGACACAAGTGTGGCAGAAGCGGTTGAAACTTCGTTGATGAGACGAGACTCATGTTTGTGAACTCGACGTTTGGTACGTGAAATTGTGTGCTTTGTTGGACATCAATTTCGGTGAATTTCAGCTGGTGCTGGAGCGCGTTGACCAGAAGATCGAGATGTTGGTGGCAGAGGGCACAGTTTCTTGGTGAAGTCGGCAAGAACTGACCCGACGAAACTAAGGAAGGAATCATGTTGTGCAACCAGAATGATGCAAAAGACATTGTCGATAGCCTGAAGACCAAACCCAAGGCATTCGCCATCGCTGTTTTGGGACACGAATGTACAGTGACAGGAAGTACATGTCACGCAATGCACATCCCCGCATTGGACAGACATGGGAAGCAGGTAATCCTGAAAGCTTGTGTACATCAGCTTGGCGCTGAACACATCTGTTTGGCATCAAGAAAGGGAGACAACATCCAGGTAGCTGAATCGCAGCTTGTGGCTATCACTGGCTGGAAACATGAGATGACAGCAGATCTTCGGCAGGCTTTGCTGTCTGCTCCTGCCAAAACGTGTGCACAAGATTGCACAAGTACTTTCCATTAAGCCGCGGGGTTTCAGCAGTCGTCCCGCAGTGCGCGGCCGTGAGGTCTGCACAGTGCCTCGGCCGTGCTGATGTAATGGTCGGAAGTTCGACTCGAGCGATTCATACCCCCGAATCACACGGCAGGATTATGGAGCCTCCCCCTGGAAAGGGTCTTTCGAGGCAAAGATAGCATCTCGGACCCAGCTGATGCTATTTCCTTCCAGTATCACGTGCGTATCAGATCGTGTCTTGAACTCCTCATGTCTCGGAGTGGCAAGGAAGGAGTATACCTTACACCCAAATCGGAGACGCTCAATAGAACGGACGAGAAATACGCCATTGTCTGGCTTCCTGATTCTACATGGCAGCCAGCTCTGGATTTTTCGACCACGGTTGATCAAAGCTTAGGCCTGGCGAAGTCTGGGAGCGATGGTCATTGGGGAGTAAGACTCCACACAGATAGATTTGAGGAAACCTTTGGCAAAGTTTTTCCCACCAAAACCGTTCCAAAAGTCTTGGTCACCCATCATTTAGCCAGGTTACGCCGACACCTATCGGCGCCACGGCAGACAACATCCGAGCTTGGCTTGAGACGCAATCCATTCAGGGTAAGCCGATTACCGATTCGACCACTTAACCCATCAACATGGCTTGTGTCGACCGTTGACGAGATTCGTCGCCATTTTTTGACATGGGGGTCCAACTCAATTTTGATACAACCCGTACAGAGGTGGAAAGAGAAATCAAGACCTACAATCCTTGCAGGTCAGAAATCGCAAGTGAAGCCATGGTCTGATGACAGAGATGGTGGAGAAGACTTGTTGCAGCACAATGACCCATGGGCAGGCGTGGTCTGCTGCCTCATCCTCTGCAAGTGCTCCATCATCCAGTAGCAGGTCAAGTCGATCAGTCGACGTCCCATCACATCTCCCAATCCCAGCTGTCGATTGAGAAATCTGAGATGACACAAATCAAAGACCGACTTCAATAACTTGAAGAGACGGCAAGCCAAAAAGAACAGACCGATCGGCTGTGGAAAACAGCTATGACCCGTGATATGAAATCATTCCAACAAGAAGTTCGTCATGAAGTGAAGGAGTTTGAGAAGAAATACGAATCTTCCTTGGAAAAGGCACTGGCAAAAACAGAATCGAAACTTGAAGGTTCGATCGCAAAAGCCATGGCTGGCCTCCAATCCTTCATCCAAGACCAGAATATGCAGTCCAAGCGCCCAGCGCCACTGAGCCCGCAAAGAGTGACGCTTCGATGCCAGAAGAGGGGAAGTGAGCGCTGAAGGGTGACCTTTTGAGTTTCACCTTCGCGGACATCCTTGTTGGCTCTTTACCGCAATCCTCGAGAGATGTTGTTTGCAACACGAATGACAGGATTCTTTTTTACATGCCATTCAAATTCGGATGTCATCAATTCATTTCGCAAGTTTGTTCTAGAGAGCGCACCTTTTTCCGACATGTGTGGTCAACGAAGCCACTTATTCGCTGCCGCAGTAAATCCACGCATTGTTCCTTTTCACTCCTTGATATTCTACCCACCTGATCGATACTCATTGGTATGCCACTGGTTCCTAGACTGTGTTTTGACTTTGACCATTTACATGCATGTAGGGCTCAAAGGATGCAGAAGCTGCGTTGACGTTTAGGCCCCAGGACCTGCGCCATTTCTACGAGTTTGGTTGGCGGTAGGGTCGCCCGGTGGATATGGTAAGACGAAAAAGACGTCTAGTCCGTCCTGGCATAGGAAGCTACGCTCAAGGAGATCTCGAGCAAGGCGATTCTAGCACTGGACGAAGGAGGTAACCTACCTACCAAGGAGGCAACAGTTTTTTCCTTGCGGTTTATCGACTTGCCTTCCATCACGGTTCACGTATGGGAGCATGGTCTCAAGGAAAAGGCAAGCAAGTGGGAGCTTGCATGGAATGGAATGTATGGCCACCTGCAAAGAAGAAGGAGAAGAAAGAAGGCAAGGGGAAGCCTTCAGAAGCCAAAGAACCAGAGTTTCCTACTTACGAGTCACTATGTCTTCCTCCTCGGGAGCTGCACCTGGCAAGGAAGTGGAAACAAGGAGTCTTGGATTTCCTTCATTCGAAGCATATCGAGCCGGAAGGACAACTGAAAGAACTCCTGCAGATTTTGCAATTTTCGTGCTCTGCTGTACAGAGAATGGTGGTGTGCCAGAGCAACTGTCCTCAGATTGAAGTCGATGAGGCCCGGGTATGGTTGAAGGAGTTGAATAACCATCTTCCGAGGGGTCAAACGACCTTTGGACCCGACTATCATAGAGGAGTCCACCATTAATTTAGAATTCATTGCGAGGCGCTGCACTCCTGTCTAGAGACCCCGGCGCGATTCGGAAATCGCAAATTTACATGCACGTAGGGTTGGTGGAGCGGCCCATCCAGGACCACCCGTTACACCGACGTGTGCTTAATTAATCAACCCGACCTCGACCGCCAACAGAAAAGACATGTTTCTTTCGTTGCCGACGTGATCGCATTGGCGGAAACTTCTGCCGCTGCAATTGTTCAGCATGAATTTTACCAATCGATGAAGGGCACAGATTATACAGTTTTTGGAGGACGGCCAGTTGAGATAAGGTGCCCCGTCAAGATTACCCCGAATCCCGGGTATGTCAATCCTACGCTAGTCCTGCAGATTCAATTCGTGTGTCCTGAATTTCGGTGCGACTAAGATTTTGTTTGTTTCTGCGTATTTTTTTCTTTGTCGAACTCTTGAAGCACAGTCACGTAATGATGTACTGCTGACACACATTTATGACTTTTTTGCAAAAACCAATATGCCATTTGTCGTGGCAGCCGACTTTAGTCAAAACATCCATACATTATATAACAGCTTGGCCAGCTTTCGCAAACATTGGCTGCGTTGAGGGTTTCCAATTTGCTAGAGAGAGGTTGCATAAGGAGTTGCCACCCACGTGTAGGAACGCCACACGTTTTGACTCCTTTATATTTCACCCTGCGTTCCGGAACCTTATTTCGGATATGTGGGTCGGTCCTGGTCACCTATTCTCAGATCATTCACAAATCTATGCGCGGTTCAATATCGATTCGAATACAATAGGCCCAATAGGCCCCACACCTCGCCTGTATGTACCAGCTGACTGGTCTGAACTTGAAATTGACCATCACCTATTCGAGAGATACTATATCCAAGCTGCTAATGCCCAATGCCCGTCTACTCACATTTGGTCACGGTCAAGTGCTGAGATAAAAATAGCCTTTGGCCCCAGACGATAGAATCTGCATTAGGTTTGACTTTGAGACAAATGCACCATTCCGACCCAGTTAAATTCCCAATTAAAGGCCTGGCGCCTAAATATCGAGGCCGATGCCAACCACCCAAATTTGTCAAACCCACACCAATACGCTCAATTCATCAAGATCCAACGATGGCGTACAATCCTCCAGGTGAACCCACAGCCTTGAAAACCTGTCAGAAGATACGACAAACTAGGCGTTTAGTTTCCCTATTCCGTCAGGTAAATAGATCACTTCTGCATCACCATTCTTGGCAACAGATTCCACCAGCCACTCGAGATAATTTACAAAAAGAATGGGGTCGCATTAAAGAGGCACAAGGATATGGATCCAGTTGGTCAAGTTGGATTCTTGGCTTCGAGTGCGTTTCATGCATCTCGTCATCCGTTCCGCCACTTAGTGCACTACATGTTTTGCTACAAATCACTAAGCTGAACTTGCTACTGGGCAAGGAGAACGTAACCGTAGGAATGCACATAAGCATTTGATTCAAATAGATAAGAATGATAAGATCTTTTGTTTTTAAAGCCTTACGTGACCAGGAACAAAAAGTTATTCACGGACTGCCACGTCCAGTTTCAACTTGTGCTCGTCGCCTTCGCCTGTCTAAAGGACAAATAAGCCTGCTGTTGCTCTCCGATCAGTCCTGCTGCCAAATACGGGGAGATAGAAGTGACAATCGAGTCACAGAACCAACGCATTATCGAAATTCAAAGCCCTGATCAAAAGCTCCCAACCAAAGCTACTCTTGAACAATCCCAGTATACGCAAGAAATTCATAAATTGTCCCAGGGATTTTTGCCTACTGGGCCCCCATGTGGCTCCGTGATAGTAATTATAAAGCAACCGATATCCGCGCATGGAGTGACACCTGTCGAGACTTAGCCCAAGACCTCTCTCCACAGCCGCCTGTTCCTGTTAGATGGGATGACCCAGTTCTCATACAGGAAACCATTTCCAAAATGAAACCATATAAGGCCCCCGGCGTCGACGGGTGGCGTGCTCAAGAACTCAAACTAATCCCCCGTCTGCCATACGGCATCTGGCAGACATGTTCCATGCAATTTGGGAAAGTGAGTTTAGTTCCAACCAAATGCTCGCCCTGTACTCTTGGCAAAGACCTCCTAACTGTCTACATTCTCAGATGGACGCCCTATTACCATCCTGGGTTATATCCCGAGGTTAACCTCCAGGATGATTGCAGATCAACTGCTTAGTTTCTGGGGCGACAGATGGGATCCCAAAATTGTTCGTGGACTTCCTTTTCGTGCCGTAAAGGATATAACGATGCAGCAGCAGGTTTTGATTGAACAAGCACATAAAACTAACACTCATTATGGCGGGTTTACATTGGATTTGGTTAAAGCGTTCAACCTTATCCCACGACAAACTGCCAAACTCCTTTTGACTGCATGGGGAGCCCCAGAGAATGCTGTGGGTGTTTGGATTCGTTATCTCAACAACACGTCCCGTATGTTGCACGTCAGAAACCAATATAGTTCACCAGTCCGATCAACCACTGGTGCTCCTGAAGGGGATGCTATGTTGGTCTGTGCCATGCTCGTAATTGCGGCCACTTATTTTCGTCGCATGTCCGTTATTTCAGTCACCCCATTTACTTACGCTGACAACTGGACTTTTATGTCCACAGATCAACGTTGTCTATTCCGGGCACTAGTCAGTCCCTTCATTTCGCACAGTCTTTGCGTATGAAGATTGATTTGTGGAAATCCTGGGGTTGGGGAAAGAATACGCAAATACAAAAATGTTGGAAGGATGTTGAAAACCTCTTCCCGTGGAATGATACCCATATTATAGTGAAGTTTGCTTCTCATGATCTCGGCTGTATGATGCAATATAGCAAAAGAATTGTGTTTGGATGCCTTAAAAGTCGAATTCAATCAGCCAAGCGCCGGCTATTTCGCCTTCAAAAAAGGACCTTACCCTTGCGGACAAGGCAAGCAAGATAGGAGATTCACATTTCATTGTTCTTCGACTTTAGTGGGCGAACACAAATGTGCGTCATCCCATATTGCTCTACACTACCTGTCAGATCGAGTAATGGACCCGTTGTTATACGTAGTAGTGACAGGCCTGTGCTCCATCCGAAGATTGTTCTATTACCACCCTACCTTAGCTAACTCAATGTGGTCCGAGATAGTCTCCCATACATCCACACAAGGACCATGTGGGGCCCTGGCCGGGCACCTGCAAAAACTACATTGAATCCCCCTTCAAGGGGGTTATATTGACATGCCAAGCAGCCATCAGCTCTGTTTACCAAATCAGTCTACCAAGGAAATCCGACTCATTTGCCGACATGCTTGGGCCACTTTTGTTTTCTCACAAGTGAGCCATCGTAAAGACATCATATCCCTTCGATGCGGCTTATACCCGAATGAAAGTTAACAAAAAGTTGTCTGATCGTGAGCTAAAACTGCCACGTTTAAACCTCACAGGAGGGTTCCAGACGTCGGCAGTTAAAGCCACATGGGACAATACTCAATCAGAAAACTGAGAATTTTGTGGACAGGTTGATTCGCATTCTCACCGCATGTTACATTCTCCCGACTTCGCGCACATTCGCTGCGCACACATGACTGCTATTGAGCATCTACAACAACATCCGCATTTAATGTGGTTCCCTTTAGCTACAGTCCATCCCCAAGAAGTGGCTTACCAGCGACTAAAACTGAACGGTACTGGCCCGTTTCTTGAACCGGAGTATGATACATCAGTAGATCGTCATGTTCTTATTACAGATGGAACATGCGATCGGCCTAAGTCCCAAAACTGTTGCAGGGCAGCTTGGGCAGTTATCCGCCAGGTGTGTTATAACCCCCGAGACCCATCTCTTCGATCAAGACTTTGAGGTCTTTCAAACGTCCCATGTGAGTGGCAACCAATCCATCAACCGCGGAGAATTGGAAGCAGTGGCCTGGACCTCGCTTCTATTCTCAGCAAATTCAACGACCATTCATAGATCTCTATACCGATTCGCAATTTGTTGTAAAGATAGTGGAGGCCATTGAGAATCAGAACTTCAATCATAGAACGCACCAAATGGCACACTGTGATCTCGTAACACAACTTAAAACGACGTGGGACCCTTTCCACTTTCGCATCCTTAAGGTCAAGTCCCACCGATCACTTAATACCGCTGAAAGCCCAACCGATCTCTACACAATCTTGGGTAATATGCTTGCCGATGAGACAGCTAAAGTCACTAACCGACAAGACCTCGACGTCTTGTTGAGTATTACTAACAATATTGACCATCATTGCCAAGCTCAACAAGAAGTTTTACTCGACATCTATCGTTATCTAGTTGACCTCAACGCGCTACACTCCAAGATCCGTCTTGGGAAAGATAAATCAACCGATGGTGATGACACTATCGGAAATATAGATGAGATTGCATCCTAGCTATTAGTAACAAGTGCATCGCTAGTAGTAACAAGTGCCTTACTAGCAGTAACAAGAAGCTACTAGGGGCTCCTGGCCTTACTAGTAGTAACAAGGACGCTAGTAGAAACAAGTGCATCGCTTCTAGGAACAAGCGTTATTCCTTGTCAAATGGGTTGTGTCCAGTCCCACCTGCAGCATGTCTGGGGATCTGTTGCCGGTGGTCGCCCACGCATGTCCGGTTTCTTCTACGCTATGGCTATATGGGAGTTCTGTTCTCACCTTACGTGGCGACATCCTGACCTCTCCCTTGATAAGAATGACTTTGGCATCACATGGTGCGAATTAACGGTTCATTTTACGATTTTTGCCGGAAAATGTCTTCCAGTTTGGGTACACGATTCGGACAAGGGTTATGCAGTCCCATACGGTTTTTTCTCGGATTCGATCTTATGACAAAAACCTGAATTTCGTAGTCTTGCTCACCAGACATCAGCATTCCGAGCAGTAGTCCGTTATCTCGAAAGTACAGGCAAGACAAACCTTTATCCACGGAAAAAAGACAGGGGCAAGTTCACTTGTTCGTCTTGGTTTTCACCGAAGTCTCATGGGCGGAATCGCCACAAGACCTAATTTGCCACAAAATGAACTAGCCTGTGCCCTGCTTAATGATTATGCCTCTCTTGCCGGTCAACCATATCCGAAAAACGTTCGAGTTCCATTTCAACCTCGCTTGGATTGCCGCGCGATAAAAGACACAACCTTTACCAGCGCGTTAAGAAGTGTCTTCGCCTTCAACAAGATCTCTCTTTGCTCTCTTGGAACACATAAATTAGATGCATTACGGCCACTTTGTTCGTGGTAATTCGTAGATGACATGGACTGTGTCTTATACCGGTCTTTTGTATTACACATTCACGCTTGCACGTTTTGTGCTTTCTTTTCTGAGTGTGAACACCTACCTTAGAGTACCCCACGAAGTGGAAGGGCTGTTAGGGGCGTGACATGGATCAAGTCCGCAAGTTTGTGTGTGTGATATGTGAAATTGTTTGTTCGAGTGATTCGAGTGGATGAGGTTTTCTCATTCCCGTTGGTACCAGAGTGGTACCAGAGTGGTACCAGAGTCACCATTTACTTCGTTGGGTCATCCTTTGTCGTGCACGACGTGACCAGCCCCGTGGTTCGGTTGTAGTTCTGAAGAAAGTGCAAGATACTCCTTTCGCCAAATGCATTTTATATTTGGCTGTATTTTATATGGCCTTTGTCTAATAAAGAGTCTTCGCGAGACTTCCTTCGTCTCCCAGCGTTCCTAGCGGTCCGCTTCAGTGACACGTGTCCAGCCCATTGCCCGAATCGACCCAAATCGGCCAGATTCGGCTTCGCGCAGGATATTGCCCTGAGGACGAAGCGGTCTGGGTGACCGTGGAGGGTCAGAGCTTCTTCCGGACCCGGGATTTGGTGCAGCTTCTGGACGGAGGCCCACAAGGGAGGTGAGGGGCTGACGTGGTGAGATCTGGACGAAGGCTTCACACAAGCTATAAAGCAATGGGGCTCTTTGTGTTAGATCCAAAACAGTGCACCGTTTGAGACGGTGAAACACGTGGAATTGGAGGTTGGAGGCCATCGCTATCAGTAACAAGAAGCTACTCCAGTAGAACGGTAGTATATAGCTAGATTTCATGAGGGCCTTCTGAGTAGTTCACCTAAGGGCGCTGTGTCAGGAGGGGGGGGAGAGTGGTTCACGTTTTCCAGACACGTTGGTGTTGGGAACAAAAAAGGGCTCCAAAACCACCTGTTGCGAGACTCCCAAAGCCCATCCTTCCAAATTCGCAGCACTTTCGAGTAATCGCGCTGAAGAATGAATAGCTCAAGAGAAAAGCGTCCTGATGTGCAGGAGATGGAACCCCATGTCCAACATCGGGAGAGGAAGATGTGCCCAGACTCACACCAGATTAGACTTCGCGGATCGACCAAAACCGGGACCCTCGCCACAGGGGCCTTAATTTTTCCGGCACGTCGTCCATTCGTTCAAGGACGAAACGAATTCGGCCGCGGCTGAATTCGGTGGGGCTCCTTTTGCGTCGAAAGAGCACCACCGACGGAAGAACCGGCTGCGGCCAAAGCGACGGACGCTGCGGCCTTCGAGTCTTCAACAGCGCTGGCAAAAAACAAACATGGTGCAGTGAGGGAGGTGAAGTGAACCGGCAAATTGAGCTTCTTGTTACTAACAAGGGCATTACTACTAGTAGCAAACAGCTACTACTAGCTATTTGCTACTAGTAGTGATGCCCTTGTTACGAACGTAGCGATGTCCTTGTTACTAGCAATCGCCTTTGGAAATCATATGAAGAATACACCAGGTCTTTCCCCTTTGAGGTCAAATCACACCTCAAGTCGACTCGACCAACGGCGACCGGTGACCCACGATCGAGCTGCGACGAGGTGATGGCCGCTTCATCTACCATGGACGCAAGGATCGCGCGGCTCGGCGGACCAGCCGTGTGAACTCGGCAGAGCCAGGGCAGAAAAGAAGTAAGGTCCCCAAAGAGAAGGGGGAGGAAACTGTTCGCGTTTGGGGGTGATCCTCCACTTGTCCTTCTGTTTTTGGGTGTTTGTCTTTTTTTCTGACCGGGTTGAAGTCAAATGGTCCGGGGGGTCCACCTTTCTTCGCAGATCTGTTGCTTGGGGAATTTTCTGTGGCATTTCAGTGGCCACGCTGGTGACCTTCTTCGGTCACAGGTGTCACGGAGCGTTGGAGCGTGCGTTGGAGGTTCACCAACTGATGGCCGCCAAGCTACTAGCGATGGCCTCAAACCTAAGATCATATCAGATCTACGGTGTTTGGCCAAGTGTCACACCTGGGACGTGGCGCATGTAGTGTCACACCCTGGTCGGAACCCTCTTCGGAACCATGCATCAGAACCTGTCGGTGGTCGGAACCCATTTTGAACTGAAGACGGAATGAACTACTGCCATTTGTTCCGTTCATAGCGTCCGATCGCTTCTAGAGCCCCGATTGTAGCGTCCTCTTCTTCCTAGTAGCGATGCCCTTCTTGATACTACCCCAAAACAACATGCCAATGTGTTGGGAACCTCATGAAGCCTTCACGTTGACCCCGATTGTCCAGTTTCGTTGGGAGACTTTTGTTTGGCCTCACCTTCCAAGCTCATCCCCCCCAAAAAGACGCCGGCATTGGGAATAGTAGCTTCTTGCTCCTAGTAGCTATACTTGCTCCTAGTAAGGCCAGGAGCCCCATAGTAGCGTCCTTGCTCCTAGTAGCGATGCCCTTTGCTACTAGTAGCGATGCACTTGTTACTAGTAGCAATTTGATATAGTGCTTCTTTGGTCATTCTTGGTGGACCTCACCTGGAGTCTCCCGGATTGAGAAAAGACTAGTCCCTCGGAGTCCAGTGGATGATGTTGACAAAGGATGTGCTTCACAAAGACCCCCAAAGGCATGACCTTTACTTCAGTGGTGCCACATACAAACGGACTTCTAAAGCTCGATCAGAGCCCTATCGCCCCGCTTGCGAGGCCACAAAGTGGCATGGTCAATGGCTGGACTTGGCCCAGTTGGAGAAAAGGATCCAAGATTTGGCGCCTTGGAGCGGTTTCTTTCGGCAGAGTAAGCCTCCAAAGGAGCGCAGATTTGTGCAACCATCTTCCCTGAAGTGTTCAGCTCCTAGACTCGGGTCGCCTCGGACCTCGAACCATTCTCGCCGCACGTGTGGCTGTTCTTCTGTAAAACTCGTTTCTTTAATTTCTTTTTTGGGAGTGTGTTTTTGATGTGTTTTGTGATTCCCCACCTGTCAGGTGAGGGCTGGATTTTAGAAGAGGAACCTGCCTGCTCCTCCTCTTCCCACAGCGCCGCGTCTGACCTGCCACACTCTGTGCCGATCAGGAGGGTGTGCGCGAAGCGTGTTTGGTGGAGCACGGCGCCGAGCTGCACGTCTTCGGCGTCCTGCAGTGCTCGCACCGCGCGGCGGAGCTGCCCCGGCAGATGCAGACGCTCCAGACGTGGCCTGGAGATGCCAGGGGGAAGGGCATAACGAAGGACAGGGTTCCAAATAAAGCGTTCTTGTTACTAGTAGCAAGGCCAGGAGCCCCCTAGTAGCATCCTTGCTCCGTTCGTACCAAACCTTTGAACATCTGGCAATGAAGAATCAACGTGGGTTGGGTCTTCTGTCTTTGAAGTCGGGGCATGAGGTTTTGTTGGTTGTTTCTACGTGTTACATGCAGATTCGTGACGGCCATTTACCATAGCTGGCTACCAAATGTTACTTGACTGCTCACTTTCTGACGTATACAACATTTCTTAATGGTAATATACGTATCTCTTCCGTTTTGAGCCAGTTTGGTCTCGCTCAGGTTGCGCCAATTGCTGCCTTGGCCACTGGGCGCAAGGATCGGGCTGGGGGCCACCTGGTTGACCTAATTGCTGCGCTGCAGCCATCGAGCCAGACTGAGACATTGGTTGCTTGCTCCTTCGTAATAGAATTTCCCGAACCTTACATGTCACTATTTTAGAAGAGAGATGACCTGAAGACTCACCCCGAACTGAGCCCAACTAACCGCTTAGGAGCCCAAACTCAAACATGTCACTATCTTGGAAGATAGGCACAGCTATTGACCCTAATGGAGCTAGAGTATGGATTCAGAAATTCAAGGGGAGGCAGGAACCTTACATGTCACTATCTTAGAGAGAGAGAGGACCGAACTAACCGCTTTGGAGCTCAAACCCTTGCACGTCACTTTCTTAGAAGGAAGACGCAGCCCCGGAGACGGACTCAATTGAGCAGTGAGGAATCATGCAGGAACTCTATGGCAAGTGGGAGGCAGAAACTGTAGGAGCCACCACTGTGAAGGTTTTGCCAATAGCTTGCATGTTGAGGGTTTCCCACAGCCTTTTGATGTACTTGTTATTTGCAGGGTCCGGGGTGCCATTGCTTTTGATTAAATAATCAATTGGCTTTTCTCTTGTTTTTTGAATGTGATTGAATTTGATAAATACACTACTTTTCTCTGTGTTTCCGATGAATGTGAGACCGACCGCATCTTTGTTTTTTCGCTCCGTCCGGCGATCATTCTTCTGACACTTTTCAAGCTGATCTTAACTTTACAGGCGAGAGTGCGTTTTGGATTTGGCGCGGGCGACCCTATGCGGAGATCGTGCGTGTCGAGGGTGCAAAATGCAGGTGAGATTGCGTTTTGGCCCGGTCCGGCGCAACCCTCTGCAGAGATCGTGCGTGTCGAGTGCGCGAAATGCAGGTGAGAATGCGTGACTTGGCGATTGACTTTTGGAGGAAGTCTCGTACGAAACGCTCGTTTTGGAGACTTGGCGCTTCACTTGTGGAGCTGGACTCAGGAGTGGCCAGATTGTAGTGCAAATGTAGTGCGGGAAAGAGCTTTTCGGAGCTGGACTCAGAAGTGGCCAGTTTGTAGTAGCTTTTCGGAGGTGGAGTCAGAAGTGGCCAGTTTGTAGTACAAATGTAGTACGGGAAAGAGCTGGCTTTTTGGAGCTGGACTCACAGCTGGCCAGTTTGTAGTACAAATGTAGTACGGGAAAGAGCTTTTTGGAGCTGGACTCAGAAGTGGCCAGTTTGTAGTACAAATGTAGTACGGGAAAGAGCCTTTCGGAGCTGGACTCAGAAGTGGCCAGTTTGTAGTACAAATGTAGTACGGGAAAGAGCCTTTCGGAGCTGGACTCAGAAGTGGCCAGTTTGTAATACAAATGTAGTGCGGGAAACAGTTGCGTCGCAATACCATGCGGATTTGCGCGGCCTTGGTGGAAAGTGCGTTTGCGTGGCGCCGTGCCACTGGGGAGCGCGAAACATGCTGGCATAAACGCGGCGTGTTGCTGGTGAGCGAGATGATTGGCGGTATCGTGTGATAGGATGGCTTCTAGTGTGTGGGCAGACCGTGCGGCGAATTACGTCCGTGATGTCGATGTCGCAGTGCCATGCGGATTTGCGCGGCCTTGGTGGAAAGTGCGTTTGTGTGGCGCTGCGCCAGTGGGGAGCGCGAAACATGCTGGCGTAAACGCGGCGTGTCGCTGGTGAGCGGGATGATTGGCGGTATTGTGTGATAGGATTGCTTCTAGTGTGTGGGGAGACCGCGTGGCAAAATTATGTCCGTGATGTCGCGGTGCCATGCGGATTTGCGCGGCCTTGGTGGGAAGTACGATTGCGGATCTGCGTTTTCTCACTCATTTCACTTGGAAGATCTTCTCTCTTAATTCTTATATCCTCTCATCTTGTTGCGTCTTGTTCAACACCTTCATATCCAAAATTCAAAACCTCTGCTACATCTGCTCACCTCCTCTACGCCACTTGTTCCTGTCATCACATCTTCTCACAGATCTCACTTCATATCTACTTTCTCTTCTCCTTTCTTCTCACCTCTTCTTGTATCTTCTTCACCACTTCTACATTCTAAATCATTAGAAACTAACATTCATGTTCTACATCTACAAACTTAACATCTACATCTTTTCTTTTTCTCGCTCTCGGGCCACCCGTCGTCTAGTTTCTAGGTCTGCCTTTCTCTCTAGAGGCTTTTTAGGTCTGTAACCAGGCTTATTAGTCAAGGGCTAGGTAGTCAAGTCAAGGGCTAAGTAATCATTAGGAGTAGAACCTAAGTATTTTCAAAGCTGGTCTACTGCGTTCTTGCCTTCTTAAAGAGTCAAGTCTTTCTCCACTGCGCGCCACAATGCGGCGGGCTGTGTGTGTCCCACCCTGTATCTAAGGGACTTTCTGAATACTACTTTAAGTGCAGGGGACCAGGCAGGACATCGAAGCTGGCGATGTATCTGAGGATATCGAAATGCGACGCCCTTTCCACGTTCCTGCTTAAACCTATGTCTGTCGTTTCCCTCCTTTCTTTTTCCCTTCTCTACCCTAATGTGGTGATTCGCCAGTCTCGCCCCCTAGCTAAACAGGAGGCTTCCCGTTTCCTTTTCTAGCTACCAAACAGGAGGCTCTATTTCCTTTCTACCTACTCCTTTTGAACCTACCTCTCTATGCACGCCGTTAATTCAAGAGTGCTTCGTACGCAGTAACTAATTTCCGGAGCTTTCTGAAAACATTGCTAAAACATCTTCACTTTCGCTGACCCAGCCGTCTTGCCGTTCCTGCATTCATTTCTTCGTAGATTACCTCATTGAATGAAACTCTGTCAAAGTGTGTGAAACTAGGAGAAAAGTCATTTACGTTAATCAAGTTGAAGTCGCTTGAACGATGGTCATGCGTCATGAGCTGGCTTGACTGACGCAGCTTTGAGGCCAGGGTCGACAGCCTTGGCTCGAGCTTAGTGTCTACAATAGCACTGACAGAGCAAGTTGACACAGCGGACGCGAGCGCGAGTAACACAGGCATCGCGTAGAACCACCTTTCAATTTTGGTGGGAGGGCGCCTCAAGCGTCTGGTGCGCTGCTTCTTTCACGCCGTGTGTCAATGGACGAGGGCCGTCTGCAAATGGAGCTCTCTAGCCAAATTTCAGGGAAGCCGCTGGCCACAGTTATGCTGCCCCACCGCACCAACAAGGTCAATGTGGCCAGCCTGCAGCGGCGCGCAATGCGGGCGTGCTTGCACGCGAACTTGCTGCACTCCAGGAATCAAAGGCTCTACCTGTTTTTGGATGATTCCTGGTTGAGCAACCAGGCTGCCCTGGTTTGGGCGCGGATCTTCGCAACGCATCCGCCAAAGAGGCGGCTGGTGAAGAAGACAAACCTATCGAAGTTTCGCCTCGAAAGACAACTGTGCTGGCTGAGAGGCGGCGCCAACGCTGCGACGGCGCATGACGCCGTGGACACCTGATTCACTGGCTTCTGTCATCCGTCAAGATTGCGGTCCTGATGTGCTTCAAAAGTAGCATCTGAACGAGCGAGCTCGGGAAGTGAAGCAGCTGCATGGGGTGGACAATCGCATCAGGACGCCAGTTGGTTGCTGTAAAAATCATACCTGGATCTTCCAACGAATACCAAAGTGTTTGCCGAACTTGGCTGGTTTTATAGATGAAGTTCGGCAGAAATGTTGTACAGTCGTTGGAAGATCCAGGTATGGATTGATCTGAGGATTTCACCGGGTGGAGCCGCCCAATGACTGAGAGGGCCGTCAAACGTAGCAGTTCAGTGAAAGGTGAACCAAAATGCGGTCATTCCACCTGCCAACCTCAGGAACCCATCATTAATTCCTTCATGTTAACCTTCCAACAAAAAGAGACGAAACGCCACCTCCGACCACGCTGAACAGCACCGTCGACCCTCCGGCTCCGATTCGTCGAAGGCCCTGCGCCGTGCACCTGCGGCAGCGGCTGCCGCGCAGCGCAGCGGGGAAGATGGACGTCCAGGCGCTCGAGGCCTGGGGGCACTGACTGTGGAAGGGAGGTGGAAGAAGGACCTCTCGGTGTGTGTGTGTGTGTTTCTTACACTGTCGCTTTGTGGAAGCCTGAAAAGTGATGAACAGTGACCTGTAAACCCTTTGGGGGGAGAAAATGGGGAGAACCCGGAGGATATAGAATCTCTATTTGTTCGAAAGGGAAACTGAGGCGGCTTGGTGGGAAATAAACTGCAATGGGTGGTGTGATGGGTGATAGTTTATTCGGGTGGATGAAGGGATTTGTTCGTGCTTCAAGGGTGTGGGGGGGGGCCATTGATATAGTTAAAAAATACATTTAGATAATTCTCCTTGTTAACTCAATTGGCGCGTTCATCCGGCGTTTTTTGGTTCAGCAAACACTCAGAGTTTCACCCCTGGGATTCCAACAGCCATTGTTTTAATTGTTTTTACCAAGAAAAATTAATGGGCCTTGGATTTGTCTATATAATTGGTAAGAACAATTACAACCGTGGTAAGAACTCTTTAGGCTACAATTGACGGTGTTTGCTTACTAAGAGCTTTAGACTACAATACCAAGTCAGGAATTCTATTACTTGTGTTTGACGGCTAGGGACACCTTTTCCCTTAGTTTCCTCGCAGCCACTCCCCCGAAGGAGTAACCTGCAGCTGACAGATGAATAAGAGTTGAGATTCTGTTGCGATACCTGACATGCCTTCCACAAGATACTACAGATCCGAAGATGCCAGCATAGACTCCAGGACCGTCCTGGTTTGTGGGAAACAATAATCGGTGGAGCCTGGCTTCTGGGGTTTGTGCTTGTTGCAGCCAACAGAAACTTCCTTGCAAACCAGTGCGAACCTGTTGCAAACTCCTGTGCCCTCGTGGGAACAAAGCTGCTTTCGTCATGTCCTCCAAGAGTTCTAGTATCATCATGTATTTTGGACATGCTATCGATGCTCAATGTGGATGAGACGATCCCTGCTTGTTTCAGTGCGCCCACTGCCTGAGGGATGTCAGCTATTCTTCTTATCCACACACAGCTCTCCAAGAATGACACGGCACCCATGGCGTCTTCAGCTGTACCGATCGGGAAGAGGTGCACCGATCGGGATGGAAGCGACTTGAACCACCAGGGGCCTCCCAAATCCTCCTGTTTTTTTTCTCGCCAAACCTTTTTGGGCAAACCTTTTTTGGTTTGGACCTTTCATTCGGGGTCTCCTGGCAGGTCCATAACTGCGTCGTCCAGACAGGGCACCCCTTCTTGGACCACGACCATCTGGTTCGCACACTTGACAGGCCAGCCGCCCACCCCGCAGGCAAGCTTGACCTCATGCGGAGCTGCCACCGCCAAAGAAGCCGACGCCCAGCGCTTCGGGCAAACCTGCCGCCAGGGGCTCGGCGGGTTTCGGTGCTTTTTGGAGCGGAACGGGCAGCGGTTGGAATGGAATCTTACGATGGAAAGGGCCGTTACGTCTGTGGATCTGGTAGTCTTTTCTCTTTGCTGCATTGCGTGAGAAATCTCAAATTGAAGCATGTCATTTGTTGGGGATGGTTCCGTGGGACAAGAGATTATGCAACAAGTTCATTGCATATCGACCTTCAAAACCGAACTTGAGATCTCAGGTTTTGAGATCACTTAATGGAGGCCGTAGGCCTGTAAAAGGTCACTTAATTAGGGACTCAGTCATGAACCTGGTTTATGTTGGACCTGACATTGCAAGGCCGGTCCCACTTCCCAGAGCCCATCGCGCAGACATCCCAATCAGGCGCTTGAAGCCAAGCCAAGAATGGATGTGACCATAAACCTAGGTTTTGGCCGCCTTTGACACTGGGGCTGCAAAATGCTCTCTTCAGATGGCCAGACGTAGCCTGACGCGTCTTCTTACTGACGGGTACCGTGAAAAGCGGGTGTTCCAAGCCGCCGTAAGCGCCATGAGGCCTTCCCTTGCTGTTACGAAGGGGACATGACCATGGAGTTGCCACAAAAACAACGTGGCGCTGAGGTCGCCATTTGGGTCTCATGCTTGGCGCCCTGCTGCTGACCCTCAATGGGGAGGCCCTTGCACCTCAGCTGCAAGCGCCAAAAGATTCATCAGGAGTCTGAAGGCACGGGTTTTTTGGATTCCTTTTCTGCTTTCAAGGACTTTTTGGTCGCAGGTCAGGCTTTTTTGGCGCTCCAGGTTTCCAACAAGGAACGATCCAACATCGCCTACCCGCGTGGGCGGAGTCCTGCAGTCGGCCATGCGAGTGGCGGTCCCGAGGTGCACTGGATGGTCCGCAGACGAGGCAGAATCCAATGGCTGAGGCCTCTCAGCTACTTGGCGGTGCAGTCAGAACGCGAGGAAGGCCCCGTGGGCCTTGCGCCTGCGTGGCCAGGCACCCTGCCGCCATGATTTAGAAGCACCCAAATTTTTGTTGGGGGTCTTCAAGACGAAACTATCCAGTCATATATACGTCATCAGCGTGGAGAGCCTCAACTGCTTGGAGGAACCAGGACTCACATCGGATTTGTGGATGGTGAGGGTGAATGAAACAAGTTGAATTACCAGCAAAGCCTCCTAACTGAGGTGAGCTGTTCGGGTGGCTTCCCGTTTCTATAACCCGGTCCCGAAACTCTACCTGTCAAAGCATATCATACCCTGCTTAAGGACTTCATGATGTATTTCAATGTTGTTTGGAGATGAAACTATAGGTTTCTAAAGTCTTCTAAAGTAGGTAAGATCGTTGTTTGTTGTGTTTCTTACATGCACATTTTATCGCATGTTTTGTTGCTGTAGCCAAAAGAATACGAACCATACATTGCTTCCAGGTACGTTCCTCTGGTATATGCACTTGCGCAAGAGATCTGCATGATAACAGAAGCGCCTCTCGAAATGACCACCTACTTAGTCCGCCGATCCGCCGGTCCGTCTTCCGAATCGAAGGTCCGGTGTTCGGTTCCCCACTTTTGCCCTCATCCTGGCCATTGGTCCGGTTCCTTGGTCACCTGCGTTGGCCCACAATGGGCCAGGTGTGTTGTTTTGCACCGGAAAGGGCTCAGACACCGATCAAGATCGGTTCTGAAAGCAAAAGCGTACACATGCAGACTGGGCGAGTTTTCAGAGAAAGATACGATGTTGAGCAATTGATTTGAGATCGCTAATGATGGATCCACTCCAACCTACACGTTTCCCATGGTTTCTGCAGTTACAGGGGTCGGACCCCACTCTTGCGAAGTCTTCCACACCCGAGACCTGTGCAGAGTATGGTCCCTACTTCCCAAGGCCTGGCATTTGCTTGGCTGGCGCTGGCCTACGGGGACTCGGCGGAAAGGCCCGGGCCCTTCTCCAGGCGCGCCGACTGGGGGCGCAAGGGCCAGGCGCCAGGCCCAGTGGGAGGGAAGAATCTGAGACCATCGATGGTGACGGTCGATGAAAAGTCAGAGCCAGTCCCAGGTGGTGAACTCGGTTTTTGGGAAGATGAAAGGATTTTCAGGGAATGAAGGGAATGTAATAAAGAGCAGTCCCATCATTTTCAGGGAATATAATCCTTTCATCGGTTCTTTCTCGGAAGATTTTCCAGTGTGAGGACCAAATTCACGCACTGTATGCCTGGGCTCAACAACGAAGGACCACATCGTTCCCATTTGGTCCTTTTCTCCAAACAGATGATCCCAAGTGGCAGGTTGGGGGTCCTATTGGTCCTTCATGCGCGACTTGGCAAGACGGAACTGGATGACGGGACATGTGCCATGACGGTTGACGGTTAGTGGATGTGGGGGCACATATTTAGCGCCAAGCCCCATGATAGATGAAGATGGCTGCTGAGCACTGGTGCCACTCCCACCACCTTTGAGTCTAGCAGAAGGCAAGGCCTGGGCATGCGAGAGTTCCGTCATTCGTCACGGATGTGTTTAAATCCATGAATAGTCGGGAATGATTTTCTCGCTTAAAAGCATCCATGCAGAAATTGGGATCAAGAATTTCCCAGGGTGTGGCCATCAATTTGAGTTTAATTCTGCATTGAAGGCGGCCATCTTTTTCACCATCTTGCTGGGTCTTGGGAATCGAGAAAGGGAACGAAAACAATTTAGATTCTTCAGGTTGGGGGCCATCGCTACTAGGAGCGATCGGACGCTAGGGGCTCCTGGCCTTACTACTGGTACTATAGGAGCAAGAAGCTACTAGGAACAAAGGGCATCACTATGAACGGAGCGATCGGACGCTACTAGGTGGAGGCCATCGCTAGTAGGTGTCTCCATGCAAATTGAAGAACACCGCTGGTGGTCTTCCGCTCCCGCTTCTTCGCCGAACTCGCGGTGTCGTCCCATCAAGGCACCCCACGCTGCCGCGTACGGCCGCGAGCATCTCTTCCTCCTGAGGCTCCCCGGTACTGCCATGCGTCAGCTCCGCTGGGCGCTGGCGCTGGGTGGCCTCCTCTTGGCGCGGCGTGAAGGGCGGGCGGCCAGCTGGCCGCTGGCGAGCCCGGCAGATTGTCGGGGGGGGAGGAAGGACGGAAGTGAGTCGAGTCATGTGGACCCAACGAGGAACTGAAGCTGTTTTGGGGTGGTAAATGAATGACCTGGAGAACGGATCTCTGAAATGTAGTTGCTTTCTTTTTGTCGGTGCATGTTTTTGGCATGTTGTTTTATCTTACTTGGACTGGTGAGGCAAGAACTCGAAGAGAAGACAAGCCATTGTTTTACACTCCGAGCAAAACTGGAAGTGGAGTGAGTGAAAACCACCTCTTTGGTCCTAGTAGATTCCTTTGCTAGTAATTACAATTCTAATTAAAATATTTTTGTTACTAGTAGTAAGGCACTTGTTTCTAGTAGCTTCTTTGTTACTACTAGTAAGGCACCTGTTACTACTAGCGTGCACTTGTTCGAGTTTCATGGTTACCCGAGTCTTCGGGGCCATGCCTTTACGTAACCGTGATTGGTTCCGGCATTGCAAGGGCAATGGATCTACTTTGGGGGTATGTGATATGAAATGTATTGAAATGTGTTTTCTTTTTTGGACATAGATCATCCCTTATGTACGGAACTCACGAGCACTATGGCTATTGGTTCAGCTTCATCATCAAGAGGTTAAATGATCACTTAGAAAGAACAAGCACGTCTTTCTGACAGCCGTGTCTATAGCCATTTGGGTGGTGAGGGACTCGAGAGGAAGGTAAGATTCAGGATCTTCCTGAGCCTGACCCTGATTTTGTCTACTTCTTCAACACCTGCAAGATTCTCATCAAAGCTCTTGCCATTGGGACCTGCTAAAGTTGTTTATTTAAGAGTTTGGATGATTACAGGATGATGGCTCCAGATTTCCTGGGCTGCTGCTCATGCATCTAGTTTTGGTCGCGTTTGGTTCGGCACACCCACGTCGATGGGCGTTGCTTGTCCTGAAACTTTGACCCGAAATGAAGATCTCAAGGAGTCTCTCTGGGGAGAGGCCAATGAGGCCGAAGCTGAAGACTCCCGGCTTTGGGCCATGCAGAGCAGGTCTTTTGGTGTGGCATTGGCACATCACTCGACTTCGAACTCACGAGCGCCTTCCGACATGGCATGCTCTACGGGCTGCTGAGGCGCCTCCTTGCTTCGCACGTTTCAAACGTTGTGAAACTATACCTACTAGCGATGGCCTCCAATCTATCAGCGATGGCCTCTATGCAAGAGAAACCAAATTATACCTAGAGGATTCGAAGATCCTTTCGACAAAAGTTCTTGCACGAGGTTCTAGAGATATATGTACATATTTGTGGACAACCACAGGTGATTGGAACACCAAAAAAGAAATCGACAGTCCAAAGAACCGTGCCTTTTGGCGTCCGGTGGTGTTTTGGCGTCCAATCCATCCGAACCGGAAAAACACACGGCGATGGTGGCGAGCCGCGAGCGGCCCAGTGGCAGAACAAAAACATCATTTGGATACTAAAGGGCATCGCTACTAGGAACAAGGACGCCATACTACTAGGTGCAAATAGCTACTAGTAGCGTTCTTGCTCCTAGTAGCGATGCCAGGAGCCCCTAGTAGCTTCTTATTCGGGTTCTGTTAGAGTCTGTTTCAGCAATGGCCTCCACCCTAATTGCAATGGCCTCCCACCTAGAAGGCAGTGGGTCAAAACCGCTTCCACCCAACCACGGAAGGTTGACATCCCTGAAAAAATAGAGGAATCTGTGCATTTGACCCGGGGTCAACCAGGGTGCCCCGGTTTTGATCCACTTCCATTTGACCCCAAAACCGGCCACTCTGACTTGAGGGAAACCATGGCAATTACACATCGGAAACCTGTTTTTGGGGCGAGATACGGATCGCAAGTTGGCTGCGGGGAAAACCATGGCAAAGTATGGCAATTGCCTCCCGATTTGCCGCACGAAGTGTGCGACCGAAGTGGCTTTTTCCAGTGGACTCCGTTTGAGAGTTTTCTGGGCGACTCAGCACGAGGAGGCTACCAGGGGCTCCTGGCATCGCTACTAGGAACAAGAAGCTACTAGGGCTCCTGGCCATACTACTAGGAGCAAGAGTACGCTACTAGGAGCAAAGGGCATCGCTACTAGGAGCAAGGACGCTACTAGTAGCTCCTGGCATTTCTACTAGTAACAAGAAGGTACTAGTAGTACATAAGAGTCTTCCATCCGCCAACGTCCCAAGCTTCCACTAGGCACGCACGCTGGAGCGCCGACTGGCTGAATGAGGCGGGTCATGCATGGTCCATGCGGCTCGTGATGACGATCGTGGGACAGTGCCTGGTGGAAGGATGAACTCCGCTGGCTTGAGCCGACAGCCAACAGCACTAGGAGCAAGGACGCTACTAGGGGCTCCTGGCCGTACTACTAGGAGCAAGAAGCTATTAGAAACAAGAAGCTACTAGGGGCTCCTGGCATCGCTGTCAGCCGAAATAGGGGAAAAAAGACTGCATGGGCGTGGGACAACAGTGTCCTTCCCGTGGGCAACCTTCCTTTAGATTTGCTGTGCGTAAATGGTATGAGTTGGACCATGTGAAACATCAATGTCCAGGTTGAATGTGCTTTGCCGAGTTCTTTGTGCAGGAAACTCTCCCCAATCACCAACTGATGGCACTCCAGCTGACAGGATTGCCAGCTGAAGATACAACCAGACAATAAACCGCCTGCCTCCAAAGATCAACTCCGCGCGATCGATTCCTTCAACAATATTTTGAAAAGATGTGTGAGAGCATCAAGCCCTGCCTTTGATAGTAGTGGTGGTAAAAGGAGTAGGAGTAGGAGCAGCAGTAGCCTGTAGCCTGGCTTTGAACCCGTCCAATCCCTTGACTGGCTTTGAGCCCTGCACCTGTCCGCCCAGGCCATCCATCAGCTGCTGAGCCGCGCCACGCCGCCTTTTGCCTTTCGCCTTTCGCTCCTCCGTCGCCAGCGTCGCCGCTGGGGAACGACCTCGAGGAGCACGAGCTGCCAATGGGAAGAGCTGCTCGGAAGAGAAAAGGGTTCTCCGTCACCACCGGAGAATTGAAATATGTTTTTGCAGATGTTGAAGATAGACCACACCGTACAATATTTAAAAACAAATATATATATATATATATATCCTGCCTTGGACACCTCGTGGTTTCATCCTTAGGCATCTCCGTGTCCACTCTTACCGCACAGTAAATCCCTGCTCGTGTCGCCCGCCTTGCTGCGGTTCTGCACGCAGGCTGAAAAGAATCAGCTACTCTCCCTGCAACAATCATGGCCTACTAGGAGCAAGGGCATCGCTACTAGGAACACCGACGCTACTAGGGAGTGGACAATCCCCTCTTGAGGAAAATACTCTTCCTTTCGGGACCAGAACGTCCACGTAACCATGATCCGAGGGCGCGTAAGATGACTTGAAAGGCGGAACTTCTATTTCCATGCTAGCTTCTTGTTACTAACTGCGATGGCCTCCAAGTAGAAAGGCCCTTTGCTACCAATAGCCTAGCTTCTTGTGCTACCTTTGGTGTACTCAGTGCTCCGTCCGACTTCCCAAGCTTGCGCCAATCAACCTTAGGTGTCCTTTGCAATCAGGAGGTTGTTTTGGAACATCAAATATCACCCAGGAACTCAGAAAACACTTTTCAGAGGCGCCAGGGGGGCATAGCAAGGTATCCCAAGAGTGAGCGCGACCAACTGTACTACGACCAGTGGATTGCACAAAGCCTGGAGAAAGCCGAGGCCAGGCACGTCGCTGTGGAGTATGCACCACCCGTTCGATGAGCGTGTCGGACATGTTTGCACAGAACTAGGCTTAAGCAAGAACAGAAATCGGCTTAATTCATCCTTGCTCACCAAACCTCATCCTCACTCCTCTTCTCAGTGTCCTTTTCCATCCTCTTTCCATCCATTCTATTTCGGCGCTGTGCCGCCGTTCCAGGCCCCTGCAGCGCCCGCGCCTGGCCTGCCGGGCCCGCGTCGCGCACCGCCCGCGCCCACGTCCGACGATGCGATCGCGGTGACGTTCTCACGGGGCGCCGTGGACGCTGGGCGAGCCCCGGAGCCGCGTCCGATCGCTCCGAGTACGGCCAGGAGGTTCTACGTTCGGTTCGCATCCTCTTGTTACTAGTCTGTTGGGAGACTTGGGGATTCTCACGTTTCCCATCCTTTTGTTTTGCATTCTTTTGCGCGCGACCGATTCATTTATCTCGCGCGCCAGTTGCCATCATCAACCGTGGAGACTTTGGGTTTGAAACATTGGCCTGTCACGCACCCGCTGAAATACTCAGGCTTCAGGGTTTACTTGGGGCTCTTCTTTTTCACTAAGCTTTCCTTTGGACTTGTGGCATTGAGACCAAGCACAGAATTTCCCGCGTGTGTGTTTGAGATGCCTATCTCCCCCTCATAGTGGAACTCCAATTCCATTCAGAATGAAGACCTTTTCTGCCTCTTTTCCACCTCTTTTTCTGAAGTTGGTGAGGCGAAGACGGCAGTCGAAACCGGCGCTTGCCACCGTTCGCCAAGGACTGGGCCTTGCAGGTCCTGGCGCCGTCGGCCTCCGCGTCGGCGTCCTCGTCGGCGGTGCCAGCGCTCAATGCTCGGGCAGAGCGGGTTTTGAACGTTTTGGAGCATCGTGGCTTTTGCGTTCGCAGGGATGGACGGATTTGGATGCTTTAATGAGTGATGCAGGGGTTGTGTACAAAAGCATTATAACCAGATATATCGTTCTCCTTTTGTGCGGTTATTTCATTTTCGGGGGGGCTGAATTCTGTTTTGTCGCCACGCCCAGGTGTTTGGAATCACTATCCAAAACTCTTCCATCTCTCAGGCGGCACAAAAGCTCCAGATGAACCATGTCGATCTGTACTAAAACGATGCGTCGCTGCTTTGACGGCTGCTTTAGTAGCTCAATTTGAGGTTTGTGAAGAACTGTCATTGTTCCCACTTGAACGATGGGATTCTTTCAACTTGCATGGGCCCACGTAGAAAGCCAAGGGATTGGAGCCGCCTCTTCCTTGTTTGCCAGGAGCAGATTGTTCATTCATTTCGTCCAAATTGTTTTGGTGTCCTAAAGAATGAGGCTCGCTTGCTCGACCAGAATTTCTCCAGAAGCAAACAAATTTCGCATCATGTTTCCAAAACAGTCTCGTTTCGGACCAGGCGTTGTTGGTCTAATTGGTCTTTGCATGTACTTACAGATCGAGGGTTGGGAAGTAATTCGGGAATAGACACTTCAAAGCATGTCTGTTCGTGGGTTTTTACATGTTGCCCGCGTTGTGTCCGATCCGATCCATTCGTGAAAACCCATCGCAACTCTTAGCTCCAGTTCCAATGGACAAACAGTGGTCTTGGGACTGAGAGCACACATGGGAAGCTCAAAGGGGGGCAAGTCTGCAGTCCAAGGCTATGATTTTTGGAGAGATGTCATTCTCAGGTACTTGGATGACCATCCAACTTGATCAATGTCTTACAAACTACTTGTTACTGTTGTTGGGGTGAACATACCCCACAAACCAGGAAGCAAAAAGAAGAATGTTTTGCGCTGAAGAAGGACCCTTTGCTTTTGATGGGTTTAGGCACCACCAGGGCCACCAGGGGATCATCAAAGACTCCACAAGCCAAGATTTCGTCCAGAAAACTAGGGACTAAAAGCACCACCTCCCAAGGACCGTGTGCTTTTCGGCCACCAGGACCTAGGACGCACGGCCGGGCACAAAGAAACCACGTGCCAACTGCCAAGGCAAGCCGTGCCCGGACTGGATCCGGACGCATCGCTCATTGGATTGGACAGTTTGAAGGCGTGGGACGGTCATTGTGGATCACCACGGATCAATCACCTGCAAAATCACGGGGGACGAAGCCCTTGTTGGGGACAAGACACAGCTTGTGTAAGCTTGATTTTCCAAGATGTTGTCCAGGGACAAAGGCTTGGGAGTCAGTGGTGTTTGGCGGACGGCTCAAGTGGCTGCGGAGTTCGGCGACTCCGGCCGAGCCAGCAAACTGGGCATGACATTGGGCACAAAGAGGCCACATGGAATAGAGGGTAGGTATACAGGTAACTAGTGAGTTCTTAAGGGTGAGACGTGCGAAACAGTTTGTGCTTCTCACCATTTATTTAGATTACGAGTAGTTGATGTTCCGTATGCATTAGAGTTTGGGAGGACAGTTCAGGGTTTGCAGCAAACTGCCGGTCAAGCTGGGCAAGAATGCCAAGTAAACCTCAAGGTTGCGCGGCAATCTGAAGAGTCTGACGTGGTCGAAGGCAACGAAGAGCTAGAAGCTACTAGTAGCAAATTAGCTGCTAGTAGTGATGCCCTTATTCCTAGTAGCGATGCTCCTTGCTACTTGTAGCTTCCAGCTACTAGACGCTCAAGAACGCAACAGCACATTGAAATCAGCCATTCCAAAACCATTCACGAGTGCGAGAAGTGCCCCATTTGCCCATTCGCGGCCAGTGACACAGCCCTGCTTGGTGGCGAATCTGATGCAAACGGCCGTGTTGGAAGGACGATGCAGATCTTTCAGATGACGCAGACAACGTAAGAATCTCTGCAATCTGTTTTCAAGCTTTGCAGGACGTCTCCAGAACTTGCGTGATGTTTCATCAGATTGCTTTGCCGCTCTGCGATTTTCACAAAGTCACCAAGATGGCGAAGCCGTTGGCGGTACCAATGGCCGTTGGCACTCATGGTTGTTCAAATTCCATGATGGACAAAGGGATTTGGAGTGTACCAACGATTGTGGGTGAACAAACCTACACACTGCGCAGGAAAGGGGTTCCTGTCTTGAACCTGCCGGTCAAAGCCGTTTGGCCTTTCTTAGGGCAAAGGCAGCCGCCAAACCAGAATCATGTTTCCAGTCTTCGTGGTTTTGAAGATCAAGGCAGGTGCGTGGTGCGTCGCCATAGTTGTTGAGAAGCCCTTCGCTATGCCGGGAATGGGTCCACTCATGACGTGCATGACGTGAGTCCCTCCAGCATAATTCTTTGATGACTTTTCCCGGCAGGTTCTCCACAGAAAGCAAAAGGAGTCCAGGCTAGAGGCCATCGCTTTTAGGTTGGAGGCCGTCACTATGCTATTAGGTTTGGTTTCCTTCTCCGAAGACAAAAGGATTCTTCCGAGTTCGTGTGTCGAACACCGTGCATTCGAGGCGAGCTTCCTCAGCAGCGCCCTGCACAAACGCTGTGGCCTCCGGCTGAGTGGCCAACAGGCGCGCGGAGTCGCGAGTTGCGACCGACTCCGTGGCTGGCACCCTCGACCACCAAAGATGAGAGTCCTCGAAATGTCAACACCATGGTTTGGCAGGTTGACTCACAGCCACAGGAAAACACCGTGATGCGAAGAGACCGACCACGTGGGGTGTGTGCGAGGTGTGTGTCTCTTTCGATCGCGGGTGATAGCAGGGTGTGACAGAGTCTTGCGAGGAAAAAGAAACAGAACTAGTAGGCTATAGCAGGTGTCTTTTATTAAATCTGAACCGAGATCACCGATGTCCTCAATGACTCAAGGGTCCTGGATGATTGGGTCAGGAGTTCAGTGAGTTTCCCGCCCAAGAACCAACACTGATGCCACCGGGAGTGCCCAATCCTTGCGAAGCACGAAGCCAGTGGCGAAGCCCTCTACAATCCAGTCACTGTCCTGGTACAACTCTTCCATTAGCTCCGAAAATTTGAAGGAGTTAGTACTATTAGTAACAAGAAGCTACTAGGAACAAGTGCATCGCTTCTAGTAACAG